GGCTTAAGAAAACAAACCAAACCAAAACCTCCAGGGGATACTTCCATCTAGACATTCAAGCTTTCAAGCAAAATCTGGTTTTCTGTCTTTATCAGACCTCTTTGCTGTCCCAGTTCTTTCTCCCATTCTAATATTTAAGTGGCTTTGGCAGAGACGATCTATTACTAGTTCTGTGTCAAGCCTTTGCCAGTAACTCCATGGGGTCTGAGCTTCCTCCAGTTATCTCACCCTCCTATTTAAAATACTTTAACGGGAAAGCTTACTTAACAGCATTTCAGAGACTACCATTTTGTAACAAAGTCCATCTGGTCAACATTAAGTCCGCTTACCATGACTGAAGAATAATCTTGCCTTCATGTTGAGGCTGTAGAGCTTCAGTTAAACATGATTTGGAGTGGGATAACTTACTACTAATAAGCATCAGCACTGACAGCAGGAAAACTAGCTTTTAAGAACCCAGTTTTCAAAGCTCACTTGTTGGCATCTGGTACTCACTTTCTACTTCTTGGGAAGATTTGAGTGTTTCTCCAACATCACACTGATCTTTGGAGAAATAGTGGATTTTTCAGAGTTTCCAGGCTTGGAGAAGGACATAGATGATGTATTTGCGTATGAAAAGAAAATTAAAATGATGGGAAACTGAAGGGGTTTAATATTACATAGTGCTATTGCTAGCCCTACTGCTAAATTGAGCTATTTAATGAACAAACAGGTCATCAAATCCTTTGGGAAGACCTAAGAAGATATTCACAGCTGAAACAAGGATGAAGCAATGACTCTTACATCCCCCAAAAGCACACTGACAAACTGGTGAGAAAGAAGTTGCATCTCTCTGGTTGTGTGTAAGCTGATGAAGCATTAGAAGCCAGGGAGGTGAAATGCGTATGTGAACCAAATAGGATTGTCATGTCACTCTGTAGAATGAAGAAATGTCCATATTCCTCTCTGCAGTAAAAGCAGTGCTGATACCCTACAACTTTCACTTTCCCTTTCTTAGAAAACCTACTGTCACTCACAAGTATGGTGCAGAGAGCAAATCCCCTGCAGACAGCGTAAGAGAGGCAGAGGTTTATATCCGCAAGTCCAAAGGAGAACAAAATCCTTACACTGTGAGAATTTCACCTAAGCTACAAGCTTGTTCTCCTAAACTGCAGAGCTTGGTTAATAACCTGTAAGGACAGATGATGAAGCTTTCTCCAGATCTTCTTGCATTTTAAGAAGTACTCTCTCCTGCTCCAAGGCTTCTATGTACTTGGAATAGGACCAGGAAGCCTGAAAGAACCATGAAAAATGATCAGCCTCTAGATCATATCACTTGCAGTTCCTTGTCAATTTCAACAGTAAGACAAAAATCTTGTTTATGTTATATCCCCGATATTGAATAATTACAATTATTAAGAAGAGAAATTCTGTCACAATAATATTGGAATCCTGGGGAAAAAAAGAAAAATATGTTGCTGCAAATAAATGAATCTTGAAACACCATGAAAGGCAATTTAAGCAAGTTTGACAGATATGATGTTTATATTCATTTATTCTCCATCCCTGATCTGAATGCTGTTCTCTCTCCTTTTTTCTTCAAAACCTTAATACAGCAGACCTTTCCCTTCCCAAAATATCAGTCTTTTGTGCTATTGAGGACTTAATTTAATCTCCCTGCCACATCCTTCCTGTGTGCCCTTCCTCAAATCGTCAAAGGTCTCATTAATCTCACAGTTATTTCTCCCTGCCCTCTCCAGCAGAATGCTGCTACTGCTACAGGCAGATAAACTGGAGATTTCATCCTTCCCTCTTCTAAGGAACAATTGCTCTTTACATTGCAACAACCACAGTTCAGGTTCCATGTAAATTTAAGGTCACTCTCAAATCAGTATGGGAATTGTACTTTGTCCTCTTCTTGAGGGCTTACACATATGATATTGATATACTGGCTCACTCAACTCAAGAGTGTTTTTTTTTAAAGTAAGTATGAGCAAAGGTAAAAAGGTCTGTTTAAGGGATAACAGTGTGAGCTTAACTATGAAGTTTGCAAGGTGGTTTCAGATTTTGGGGGTATTTCAGGCTGCCTATTTCTATGTTCTGCTCATCACTAACATAATGCCATGGGCAGAGGTCTGTGGAATACAAGGAGCGACCAAAGTGCAATTTACTGCTGTATCACATCATAGCTGTGATTATGTGGTTGCACAGATTCCCCATTATGGCAGTATCAACTCAGCTATAAATGATCCTTTGATCTGCCCAAGGTGGCTTGTCTGTTCTTCCTGTTTCTCCAATAAAGTGACTGTTACCTTTTCACTACAGATTTGATACATCATGAGAGTTGTTCTGGAATACTAAAAACCTGTTTTCTGACAGGTTTTCTATTCAAGTATCTGGATTTCCTAAATGAGTTCAGCTTCTGTTTTTTGACATATGAGCAGAACAGGACTCAAGCCTAAACCAAATTCTTTCAGGATGTGAAATTCACAAGTAATTTAAAGCTTCTTGTTCAAGAATTGAACTTAATTGTCTTCTATTTATCTTTAAATTAAAATTATCTTTGAATCTACACACATAAAGAGTTTAATATGTAGCTGGATATTAATACCCCTCAGAACCTAAATCTTAAAAAAAAAGAAAAAGAAAAAAAATAGCACCTATAAGGTAGGTAAACTTATAACAGTGAAGTTAGTTGTAGAAGAATGAATAATTATTGAAGAACCATGTGACAGTAGCATTCAAAACCAAACTCCACCCTCCCATTCTTCCAAGACATTTCCCCTCTCTTGAATGATGATATCTATAGCAACATGTTTATTATTCACCTCTGACTCACGTCCAACTGAATATGGTGCTTGTCCTGTCTCCACACCAGTTTCATCTGTGAAAGCACTGCTTAGCAAACTGATGGGTTTTTTCCCAGGTTTTGTCTCCCCTTCTTTACCCTGCTAATAAGAACTCATAATTAGGTGGAAATTATAGTTACTGAGCTAAAGTAAAAAGCTAAATCTGTGGAAGGAGAAATTAACATTGGTAACAAGATAGTGTCATATGCAGTGATGTTTTGTAATGCCCAGTTTCATAATTCCTCACATTGGCATAATACGAAGTAGCAGAAGATTAAAAAGCATTTCTTTGTTCTAAGCAAAGTTTCCTGACCTCTACACTCCTGCAGACTACCGTCCTTTCAGATTCAATACCTGCTCCAAAATATAGCTAAGTGAGAGGGCAGATCTGAAGCAGAATGCATTTTAAGGACAGAGAGGCCATTGTGATCCTCTAATTTGGCCTCAGGTATAAATATAGAACATAGGATTTGTCATGATTAATTCCAGCTTGGTCCAGTATCTGTGAATGAACTACAGTATATATGTTAAGAAAACAGGCAATCTGATTTAAAACATTCAAAGTGAAGGACAAGGCATTGTAACCCTTGGTAAGCTGGTCTGGTGACTAACTATTTGTCATTTTCATGTTGGTTTAGTGTTTTACTGAGGCTGCATCTTTGCAAATTCTGTCCAATGATACCAAAACTCTAAAAAGGTGCCTTTCCTTCCTCCTCACAGCCACTGTCTTATGAGCCCATAATCTATAAGGATGACTTTTGGGTATAGAACTGCCCAGGCAATGTGATGTTTTTCTTCTCTCTAGAAGCACGCTTACTAACTTTTGTGGCCCAGTCAATTGATGGAGTGGGGATGCCAAAGCAAATATAGCAGTAGCATGTATAGTAATATACTGCAGTTTATATTTGCTAGGTTTTTCAGTGGAAATGGTGAATTAAGTGAGGTCTTCAATAATGTCTTGAATAATAAATTAGGCAATGTTATGGCAATGTCATATCCCATGACATCGCACCAATGTCTTATCCCATGGCATACCACTTATTAACAAATAAACTTATTGCTAAGAAGATTAAACAGAGGTAAGGGAAATAGTGGAAAAGGAAAATCAATGCTTATGGTTTTACCTTTCTTTGCGAAGGACATGGAAAGAGTAAGTACAGATTTACAGTGGAAGCTGAAACTATTTTCTACACTTGAAAGTAAAAAATCCAAAATGTACTTTGGAGGTAAAATGCAGTTGTACATGCAACAAATTACAAATACTGGCATCAAAGCAGTCTGCAAAAAGTGACTAATGATACTTTTTTAAGTATGCATCATGTGGATCTAGCAGCTAAAGGAACAAATCCACAGATGAGCCAAAGGTGAGTCCATATAGCTGGGCAAATATGTGAAAACGGAGAAGCAAACCAGCCATACTCTCCCAAGGCAGTATCTTTCAAAACAACTATTTCAGCTCTATACTGAAGTAATCACATTATATTGAATGTTCAAGCTTGAACCTACCCCTGAACCTACCCCTTCCTGCTTTCCAGATAAGAGGTCTTTGCGTTGTACCGTGCTTGGTTGGCGTCCCTCGCTGTGGGGAGAGCGGCTGTCAGCCACTCCTCCCTTGCCCTGAGTCAATTGCCGGGTAGCCTTTGATACAGTTTGCTCCATAAATAAGAAATAGGCACACACAAAAATTATTGAGATAGTCAAATAATACTAAGTCATACTAAGTCAGGCATCATTGTCCAGTGAAAACTTCCTTATCTGCCCATTTTTTCCGTTATAGTACATGAAAGTCCAACACCTACCCAGTCAGTTCAGAAATCAAGGTGAGCCCAGGTAGATTTGGTACCCTAGGGACAAATTTGTGAGGAAAGCGAAAGTAGTATTTCTCCCTCACGAACATGATTGTTCTGTTTGACATAAAACCAAAATAGCAACTGATTTGTGGGGCCGGGGGTGGGGGGGAGGGATATATGCAAAAAGTATTTTAAGTATATATCATGTGGATCTAGCAGTTAATAAAGGAACAAATCCACAGATGAGCCAAAGGTGAGTCCATATAGCTGTGCCACACTAAGGGCATATATGTGAAAATGGAAGCAAACCATACTCTCAGCTCTATACTGAAGTAATCACATTATATTGAACATTCAAGCTTACTTCACCCTGTACCTACCCCTTCCTGCTTTCCAGATAAGAGGTCTTTGCGTTGTACTGTGCTTGGTTGGCGTCCCTCGCTGTGGGGAGAGCGGCTGTCAGCCACTCCTCCCTTGCCCTGAGTCAATTGCCAGGAAGCCTTTGATATGGTTTGCTGAATAAATAACAACTAGTCACACACAAAAATTATTGTCAAATAATACTAAGTCATACTAAGTCATGCATCATTGTCCAGTGAAAAATTTCTTGTCTGCCCATTTCTTCCATTATAGTACATAAAAGTCCAACTCCTACCCAGTCAGTTCAGAAATTAAGGTGAGTCCAGGTAGATTTGGCACCCTAGGGACAAATTTGTGAGGAAAGAGAAAGTAGTATTTCTCCCTCAGGATCCTGATTCTTGTTTGACATAAACCCAAAATGGCAACTGATTTGTGGGGCCAGGGATGGGGAGATATATATAACAACATATTTTTTCTAACCCTTCCCAGAGCTTTACTCTCCTTCAGCATGAGCCTGGCAAGACCAGTGAGTGCAGACATTATTTTAAATGCCAAGAAATCATCACCTTCTACAAGATGCCAAGTGAACCTGCTATCACTTATTTTAGATGAACCTTATCAGTATTCTTCAGGGATACTGAATCAGTTGAATAGTTTTGTTACCGAGAGGACAGAAATCTTAGGCAAGAGAACAGGAAATAGCAAATTCCTTAAACACTAATAGAAAGGGAAAAGGGTTTTTAAAACTTACCTGTTCCACCTATTCTTTCAGGAAATTTTACAAAGTAATTGGTTTTCTTTATTTTTTTTTTTTGTGAGAGTAGTCTGCAGACTGTTTACTAAAGTGCATTCTCTGCCTGTCACCTTCTAAAATTTCTTATCCTATTTCCCAGCTTAGAAGGGTAATTCACCTTTCCCATTTGTTCTCCATAAAAGCTGAGCTTTTGTCCTCCTGGCCAAGATTTGCTCTTTACTTCCTTGATCTTAATCAGAAATCTTATAGAGAGGCAACAAACAGATGGAAAATGTAAGTCTGTGAAAACGCAGAAGTGCATTACTTTGAAATATTGCATTCTTGTACTGTAAGTATTGCCAATGGCCTTGCCAGATATATCTGTATGGAGGCAACGTGCTTTGGAGAAAGGAACATGAGTTCCTGGGTTTTAGGCTTCACTTGACACTGGTGTGTGGCCTTGAGTAATGCTTCACTGGTCCTCAGTTTTCATGTGGCTGAAAGAGGACCACAATGTGTACATGTTCTTGTAGACATATATGTCTTTATCTGTCCAGGTACTCATGTGGTTCTCATCATGAGTAACATCTCAACACATGTGTACATAGTATTTAAAATATGTAAAGGTCTTTTAATGCTACTTATGACGGTTTTCAAGTCCAATAATTTCTCTGCCCTTAAATGAATGTTCTTTCCTCAAAGCTGGCCAAACAATTGCATTTTGTAAAAAATAAACTTTTGCAAAGCCTATAATCAATAGGAAAAAAAATCCATTATATTTTAATAACAAAATTCCAAGAAAAACAATTTTACAAGCAAGCATTCCTCTGTAGAGGTCACAGTTCTGTTAACACACTGAAACTGTCTGGAAACTCATTGTGAACAGTCTAACAAATTCACTGTCAAAGCTGAGAAATATTCAAGGAAAGACAAAGACAAAGCAATTATCACTTTGGGGTTTTTTTTTTTAGTAATGTGCAAACTTTTCAAATGCTTCTTCTGAAAAATAGATATTAAATCTGGTTTGGTTTTGTTTTGTTTAGCTTTCAATAATGACCCAGAACTGTATATTCTAAAATACGACAGTGCATGCTGAAAATGCAGACAGGGCTGCAGTTACCCATTGTACACATGGACCATACATAGATTTATATTTTTTTAAATTCAGCCCTCTTTTTCACTCTTCTCTTGGCACAAAAGATGACTAAAATACATTTTCCTCTCTGCTTAACGAAAGGAGTGTTCCACTGGCTCATCTGCTTCAAGTTAAACATATGTATATGCATCGGCAGGATAGGGAACTAATCGCCCTAGGACTGGGTTGCATGTAAAGCTTGAATTCTAACAAAAAGATGTTGGTAGCTTTGGATCAGGCTGAGAAAGGGATGTTTGAATTCATGTGTGCTTGCTCATGAAGGACTTTTTATGTGGTCGTCAACTGTCACCCCAAACTTTGCGAACCTTACCTCTGCTGTTCCATCTTCCTTCTTTTGCATCTTTTTTCCCTTTTTTCTCTCCAAGGCAAGTAGAATTTTGTCACTAGCCACATTGCTTTGAAGCTTACAAAATTTTGGCCAAAATTTAAACAGAAGAGCAAAAATACTCATCTGTGCAGAAGGAAAAGAAAGTCAATCTTGACTATATTAAGAAAACAGAGTTTACTGTAAAATAAAATGTAGTTTACCATGAGAATGAAATAACTATTTCTTTTTCAATATACAGCCTTGTTCCTCCCACGTACTGTGTCCTGACATTTCAGCCCAGCTATGCTCGGCACATGCTTTTCATCAGTGTGTTTATTATTGGTGAGAAATCTTCCTAAAACACAGCTAAAAGGCACTTTCTTTTTTTATATATTCCCCTAAACAATTGTTTGCATTAATGAAAACATCCATCATTTTTTACAAGTATTCTTGATAACATATACACCAGTAGAATTGCTTTTGCACCACTGTTCTGCTCAAGTATTTCAAATATTCAGTTCATTAGGAAGAGGGCTTTTTTCCCCTCCTTAAGAGAAAGGAAATACTTTTTTGCCTCTGGAAAGGGTCTTAAACCACATTACAGATCTATGAGCAAATCTTGGATAATTTCTAAATGATATAATCTCTCAACGGGTCTTTTTTGAACTAGAATAAGAAAAACAATTTTAGAAAAGCAAACAGAGGGGCTCAGTCAATTCTGTTGCTGCACGTACTAAGGCTCACATTTTTCAATTTGTTTAGATGTTTAATTCTCATTGAGAAACTGGGCTTCAAAGGAGCCAAACATGCTCAGCACCTCCCTGCTTCTGGACTTGAAAGTGACACGTGAGTCCCTCTCATGTGCCTGTCACAGCTTTTTGGCCATGTTCTTCCCTTGGTTTTGTGCCATGTTTCTGGAGTTCAGTGGGTTTTACACGGGCTGAAATGACACTTCTATTTCTCTTAGGACCTATATGTACACTTTTCTCTGAGAAACTATTCGTCTTTTGTGGTCCAAACACTTTATAAACTCACAGTTGATGCTTAAAGGTGTTGGCGATGATTTTTAAGGAAAACAAGAACTAGCTTTCTTAAGTTTAGAAGATTGAACAGAGAAGACAGTATAGAGAAATAAGAAAATAGTAAGTCTATAGTAAAGTTAACAAATTCCTGTTCAGTCTGATTAGTACAAAGATCATAGAGAAAATTGTCTACAGTCATTTAATACAGGCTTTCTGTAATAAAGGGAAAGACATTCAGTGAGTGAAGCTGTCTTGTGCTTTACTCACATCTGTGGTTTTTTCACAAACTACAAAAACTACAAACTTTCTAACTACAAATTACTTTGCTTGCATTAACCGAGTGGTAAAGAGTGAGCAATTAAAAACATAGACATAAGTGATTTCTACTGCCAGAATTCCTAACACAGTCTTGGGTAACACCTTGCCAGCTGTCAGAGATTGCCCACTTTATTGGGCAGTAAATCTGAAGCCTTTCTATCATCTCCACATACAATCTTCATTGAAATGCATTACTATACTGTTCTTCATGCCCATGTTTATCTATAGAGTCCAAATTGTCACATAAGCAACTAAGACTCTCCTTAAAATCAGACACACAGACTCTAGCCAGACCCATTACAGAGATTCTCCCAGCTGCTTACCTGTGCCTCTCTAAAAATGTAAGGTCCTAGCTCTCTCCTGTGCTCCAAAATCTTCTTTGCTTGTTCCATTGGGATGTCAATCTGCAAAGCTGGAGGTACGGCAGAATTAATAAAGCAGTCAATAATAGTGGTGATCTTTTTCTGGATTGTGGTTTCATCACAGTGAGAATGGCACAAGTCCTGAAAGATGAAAAATAGCATATTCAGTCAAGAAAGAGAGAGAGGCAAAACCCTTTCCAGGGGCCCAGTGATCAAAGAGTAATAGTCATACAAAAATAATTACACAGTAGATCCTTTCAGTATGTAGGACAAAATTCTTTTAGCAAATGTGCATGGTCAAAGACATAGTTAAGACATGAGCAGGCCTTCTGGTTTGCAAATGCAGATAATAGCAATCTTTGCTTTTAGGTAACAATCTCTGCCTGCACGTTCTAATGAAACAGGATAGTATTTATTCTGCATTCAGTCTGTTACTGTCAAATAGGAGGCATTTCTCAAAAGAGAAACACACCTACAAGCGTGAAATGCACTGATTCTCACAATGAGCCTGCTATGACTAGCATACCCATGGTAACTAAAAGACAAAGCCATGCCCTAAACTACCAGTATGATCTTCCATTCATTGAAATCTACTAGTTTCACCATTCATTAAGATTTTCTAGTTTCCCAAAACCTCAGTGTTTGAAAAAACTCTGGGCAGAACAGAAAATAAAATAAACCTGAACTTAGAAGGGTGAGATGTCAAAGGAACACTGGGGGTTTGCTACCTTTTTTTAATGTGATCCTATTGTTCTTGTAAAGCCTGTTATTACTGTGTCTTCACACTCTGACAGTGCTACAATTGTACTTTGACAAGAAGGAAAAATAATTCAATGAACATCCTTCAAATGCTTTGGAACACCAACCTTCCATCTATCCATAAACACCAAGAAATTTCTATAACATTAGGAGATCATCTCATATATCTACTAGAGACACAATGAGCCCTCTAGAGAATTTTCAGAGAGAGAGCTCTAAATGAAGGATACACAGTTTTGGTATAGGAGGCTGGATATTTACTTTGCAAAGAAATTAAAAACAGGGCTTTTAACCAGAAATGTGGTATGCGAAAGAGCTGGCTTCTATTATTATGAATAGCTTTGTGAAGGAAAAAAAGAATGATAACAGCTACAATGAACAAAGAAAGGCAATACAAAAACATATTCAATATATCCCAAGAATATATTATGGCTTCCTTTGCTCATCTAACATAGAAGAAAAGGCAGAGAGCTGGAGTAAGAGAGAAGACAAAAAAGCGTATGATATGAAGAGGGATGAGACATGAGCATAGAGGAGCAGATGGAAATGATCCACAGAGTTATCTTTTTTTGCATTTGTTTAAGAAATAAAAAATGTTTTGTGATTGTCCCAAGATGTGCCGCCAGCCTGATGGGTTACAGGGAACGACGCAGTCATTGACTCCTAGAGGGAGTTCTGTCTAAACTGATGGCATGATATAGCTCAGACAATACAAGCATGCACTGTGCAAAGTGCTGCCCACGTCTTTGGCAATGTGCCTCCAGTTCAGCCTGACCCACAACACTCCTACTACTCTAGCCCTTTGCTTCCATAAAGAGCATCAACTGCCAACCACGACAAATTGCATGCATGTGAAAATATGGTCAGATTGTACTTTATCTTGATAAGAAGACAAGTAAAATTAACAAATGAAGGAGAGGGGGTGGGACAGAAAAACAATGAAGCCTTTCTTCAGAGAGTAGATCCACAAAGAAAACAGTCTAAACTACACTCCACGTGTCCTCCACAATGTAGCAATGAAGAGTCATAAATCTGAAAACGGTTTATGCCATGGAACTTCAGGTGCCTTCATGTCAAGCTTCTAGTCTAAGCTATTCACTCTAAAAATGAGAGACAGCAGCACCCCCAAAGAGCATTTCAGCCAATGATTCCTTGCTTGGGGATCTGAGCCTCTGTGAGGAGGGGAGATTGTCCTGGAAACAGAGGAGCTTCAGCTTCTTAAGCAGACCCCAGATTCAAATGTGTAAAATTAAACAATGAAATTACACCCATATGCCTACAGCAGGATCTCCAGTGCTGATGCTGATGCATGTGCTACTGCAGCATCAGCTGTGTTTACCTCCTAATTTCTCCATATGTTCTAACCTCATGCTTCTTGCATGCAATGTGCACACAGCCTATGGTTAGGAGCTCAAGAAAGGCTCTGCGCTTTTGCATCAGGTAGCACTTTTGCATCAGCAATATCGCAGAAGCAAAAGGAATGAGGAACATGTGAAAGATCCATGGTGTCCCTGTGCTCAGTCCAGGGTGATGCTAGGAGACTGCAGCGTGATTTTAAAGCTCACCGCAGAGTTTTCCCATTGTGTTTCACCCCACAGAGCAGCAATTTCACAAAGGGTCATGTGTTTGGGAGAGTGGAAATCCCTGCTGACCTTCCCCATCACATTTCATCTTGGCCATGTCTTCAGCTGCAGTCAAAAGTAACAGTACAAAATGCAAGGGAGCTGGGTTCTGCATTGTACATATAAGCTTTTTGTGGAGATACTGTCTTTACATCTGTACATTTGATTGAATTTAAAAGTTTTCTCTGATTTTTGAGTGATTGCTGGATTCAGCAATAATCCCATCATTTAACACTATGCAACTAGAAAGACAGAATGAATATTTTAATGCTTGCATATTTTCTACTGCTCAGCAGCTGTATACCAAAATCTGGGCATTAGCTAGTTAGTAGTGTCCCTTTAGAGACTCGGAAGAAAATTACAGTTTGAAAAACATAAAGAAATCGAGGAATAATACATTCAAGTAATTTAAAACATCTACCCTTAAGAAGTGAGAATTTTCGTAGAAGAAAAAAGGTTTAAACAGTGAAAGAGTTTTTACAATGAACAAAAAAATACATAGAGATATTTTGTTAAAATTCTCCTAATATGCAGTATTGAATGCGTTTTCTTACAAATTGACTGGTACTCCCTTGCTCCATTTTGCCACTGTACCTTATACTTCTGGACCTCTTGCCAAAAGAGCAATCCATTCGCCAGTAGATCTCCTTGCAGTGACACAAAACGTTGAAATTCATTGGCTGTTATTGGATTCAACAGTGCTTTGCGGAAAGCAATTACTTCACTAGATGAAGAAACACACTTATTGTTCGCATGCTGTCAAAAGAAGAAATAAATGCACCAAATAAACTTTGTTTCAGAAAGCGATAACAAAGGCAATAGTTAGCATAAACTGTCTGATTCATATCTGCGCTGACCCTAGCTTTCAGTAGTTTATGAGTTTATGGCATGGATGGAATAGAATGTGGCAAGGTTTCATTTCTTTCTTTCCTTCTTTCTTCTTTTTTTTTCTTTTTCCAGTTCAGTTTGGGCAGCATTTTTTGGAAGACGTGATGGGAGAGGAAATGACTGACAATGATTTAGACCATATGACTACATACTATAAAGTATGGAAACAGCTATTGTTATTGATTATGGCAACAGGCTACTTTTCTAGAGAACAGTTTGAGTTTTCTGCAAACAAACAACAAAGAAAAAGACACAGAAAAACCACATAGCTTAAAGTTGGAAAATGCTTCTGACAGGGCTCTCACCAACAAAATGAGCTTTGAAATGTGTTGCCATGATCACCAACAGAAGCTGGAGAGTTTGCTCTCTGTGGAATAAAGCCACCAATAGTAAAAGAAAATTTAAAGCCATCGAGACATTTCAAAATCATTGAGACATGCTGCAAAGCACACAGTGGTAGGCAGCCAGGAAAGGGTGGAGAAAGAAAGACGGCTTATTCAGAGACAGTTTGTTTGAAATGAGTTCAGGCTGGCCTGCCTTCCTGAACAAACAATTCTTGTGTTGTCACTGAGAAGTAAGCCAAACAACCCACTTTTGTTATCAGATGGATGAATGATAACTGTCTTCTAACAGTGGTATAAATTCTTGAAGTCCTGAAGGGATGGAATGCTGTTCAATGGTCAGCATAGGACAAAGGCATTTTTAGTTCTTGCAGACAGCCCTGGAAATCTAACCTGACTCTAACCTGAAGGTCTTTCTGCAGCTTCTCTTAAGAACAGGGGTTATACTTTGCATCCTGCTACAGAGGCTGCCAGGCATGGGAGCCTACCCTAGTAAAAAGGTGAGTGGTGGCTGTCCAAAAGGTCCTTCGGTTAAAATAAAGTCAGCTCAAATTAGACAGTAAGGTGGGATCTTCTCACCCCTCTTCCAATTCGCCAGTCATGCTCTGCCCCCTGTGACCAGGATTTAGGCAACTTTTTGGAGAACGTATTTCTGGGGCATGTGCATGAAGGGAAGAACAAAATGTTGCTCTCATCCCTATACTAATATATGAACACTGCTTATTTTATGGGTCAACCTTGAAGCAGAACAGGGAAAATAACCATCTTCCTGACAAACAAAGTGAAAACTCAGCTAACAGAACCCACATGCACTTCGGATCCCTTTTGAGCTGATGGTTTGCATGAAAAATTGGTGACCGGGTCTCCAGTTTGATTTCAACAGACAATAAAAGTTCAACCGAATAAATGTACACAACTTGTGTGTTGGCAATCACAAAGAGTTCAGTGCTCTTCAAGAGGAAAAACTGGCAAACATCTGATGAAATCTATTATTACAAAGGTTTAAGATGCTTAAAATTGATATTATCTCAGTACTATAAGATTAAAATACAATTCTGAATGAAACAGATACTGTGAGATACGATTAAACCTGCCCACTCCACTGCATACTTCACATTCCCTTTTGTGTCTGCACGTAATCCACTCACAATAATAAATAAACTACCAGATGCTGGAATGAACAGCTTGTCCCAATAAGTCCATTGCATGCAAAATACAGATAAATGTGAATTAAAGGTATAATATCAGTTTGAGGAGTGTTAGTTTTCCATAGCCCAAGACAAGAGACATGTTTTTTTTCAAGTGTGACCTCCCTATCCGGGAAGGGAGAGAAATTTACCATGAACACCCAGCAGGGATCTAAATTCACCAGTGATGTGAGTAATCAGTCCACTGCAGCCAATACAATCATGCCTGCTTTCAACAGCATTACATTTGGGTCACACACTGTCAGCAGGGAAATTATGAAGGATGTGCAAGGTCCAAATGAAAAAGACAGTGAAACTCCAGACACAAGAGACAGGAAACTTCACTTACCTTCCACAGCCTAGTTGTCTTCTGGTTTTGTCGTGAAAGATCTTCACTTATGTCCCTTATCTGCGATTGAACAGAAGATTATAATTGCTTTTTTTTAACTCCTTTTGTTTCATGTTCAGCCCAGTAACTATTATAGTTGATACATCTTCATATGGATGCTTATATCTGAATCTTGTTGTGGACCCACACTGAATGCCATCCCTCATTCAGCTATAAATGAGCACATGCTCATCAAGACAGGAAAGTTAAAGAAGACAACAGGCAATAGCAGTTAGACTGCACTCTTCCACTGGTTTACCTTGTCCATAATGCTCTGAGGGATCAATTACATTAGGAAGAAATTTGGGACTTTTGTTTTTCTTTTTTTGGTATGAAATTGTTTTGGTTCCTTTGGACAGCTATATCAGAAACACAGACTTGACTCCACAGCTTCTTTGTGGGAAGTATACACCTCAAATCAAGGGCAGATTTTCTGAGTAAGGACTACATTGCATGGCCACTATGTTTGGTCACTGTGAAATGTGAAGCCAATTTGAGAATGTCATCTGGTTTCATTTCTTCTGAAATACTTTCTTCAAAGGACGTTTTCATCCTCTGAATTTGCAATAAGAAAGAGAGAAGTCAGACATTAATGGAGTAGAAAGACTAAAAGCTCATTAGAAATATGTATTTCCTATAAACTGTTGGATACAGCATCTTCCAAACTGTGTGGGCTATTCTCCCTGCCATCACAGTGCAGCAGGTGCAAGAAGATGCATGAGCTAGCTTCCAGACCTGGAAGCAGCTTAGCCTTAGTGCATGGTCTTGTGCCAGGGCTTGGAAAGGAGGCAGAGATCAGCTGAAAAGGGCAGAGGGTTAGGAAATTTTGCTCTAACTAGCATATTCTTTATTAAAATCACTATTTGTCTTATCAGAACCTATACTTTTCAGATTGCTTAGTGCTCTGAATCAATGAAAAGAATTACAGCTCATCTGCACTTCCAACAACACTTTTGATAACCTTTTTGATATTAAAAAGAGGATAGAAAACAAGTTTTATGAATCACCACAGTGTGCATATGTGTCTGCTTGGTGGAACTGTCAAGTTTCCTTCTGATGTGACATTTGCATTTCAGAGCTGTTGTGGGAGCGCAAAAAGCCAAGTCATTTTGCATCTGTCACCATCAGGATGATCTCCCTACATAGATTCCAGCCACATAGGCACACTCATAAAAGGCAGATGTTAGCTCTGCCCATTCCCCAGTCCTAATGAGCCAGCAGGAGTGAAAGGCTCCTCATTCCCAATTTTCTGGCAACTTCCTGAAGTAACCAATTGGAACAAGGCTTGTAGCAGTTAACGTCCCCACTCAGCAGATTTCACAAGCCCTGGAGTAATTTCTACACCACAGCTCCAGATGGGAGAATACAGGCAGCATAAAAGAAGAGGAAGAGAGAGAATACAGCATGGAAAGCCCACTCATTTGCTTGTGTTCTTGTCCCCTTGGGCAAATCTTTTACACAAAGCAGCATTTCTTCTGTATGTAAGGGTATGGCTAGGGCAAAATGTCATATAGCCAGCGAAGCACTACGGCAAAGATTAGATTACTCTTCTGGCAGCCTGGCTGGCAGCAAAACTAACATCAGGTTCTTCACATTTAGGATAGAACAATAATACTGTCATCTAGACTAAGCCTTCGGAGGAGCTGCCTTCAGTTATCAGGCTAAATGCTTCAACCTGTACATGCTATAGTGTCTTTTTAAACATTAACTGAATGTGAGTTGTGAGCTGCTTTTCCTCTGAACCATTTTATCCCAACAGGGAATTATGAGCCAAACAACAAGCAATGTCTGGATGTGTTGCTGTTCTCAAAAAATTACCTTCGCTTGTCCCTCCACCCGATGGTGTTCATCTGCCAGGAACAATGGCAGCCATTGTTCTTCTAATCTCTTCTGAACACATTGTTGAATTTCTAGCAGAACTGTTGCCGAAAGTTGATCCTGAAGGATTTGTTCCCATCCTCCACCTGAATGAATTATCTGAGCAATCCAAATACAATAACACATTACATAAACTTCTGTGTATACCAAAAATCCTTTATCTTTCTACACCCTTGATTTAGCAAAGCATGAACTTAACTGTAAACAAAGCATTTAATGCATGCTTACCCAAGGCTCATGTGTACTTTTCATAAAAGGGAACAGATTACTTTTGCCCCTACCTATAATAGAATACAGACTCCAGCAAATACTACCCCAGCTTGACCAAGAAAATTTCTGAAGTATCAAGACGTATCAGAGTACCACAGCTCAGCCTTGCTGTCTGCAGCTTTACTGACGTACTAAAATAGGAACCTGGAACAGCTCACTCTACCTGACAGCCATTTTTACACTTCTTCTGAGCTTTTTTGTGCATGCGCTGGCTGCAGCCTCAGATCAGGGTTTAAGAGAGATGTTCTGTAAGGAGAGTGGGAGGAAGAGCCTGAACAGGAAGGAAGGGATTGCCACAACCAGAACCAGATTTCTGGCCAAAAAATATAGGTAAAATTTTAGGAGATAGCCAGGGGAAAATCTGGAGCAAAGCTGATTAGGGACTTTTATCTCAGCCATATTCAGTGTGATTTTTTTTCTATGAACAGTTTTTTAACTGGTACCTGTTCTTGTTGTTCGCTGGTAGCTGGGCTGTTGGGTCCAAAGAAGTATTGTTTGTTGAAGTACTTTTTTTTAATGTCTTGAGATTTTTCTTCCCTATTTTCTTTATCCTTGTGGAGCATCTCTCTGAACTGTTCCATATCTAGCCAGCACATGAGATCCATGCTATAAACAAATTTAAACAGAATGTCTTTTCAATATTGAGTTAATTTCATCAACATTCTGGAGAGTTATTACTTTAACCACAAGCCACCAAAATGTTCAAGTCCTAAATACCAGGTCAGATTGGACTGAAATTTTATGTCATTTTTAATTTGCTAGTACCATCTGGTGAGACCATGCCACTTGTTGAACAGTCAGATCAAACACATATTTGGGATCTCTTTTAGGGTCCCTTGTGAGGCACCCTGAAAGAAGTAACCTCCACAGTGTGCTGCTGATAATTCCAGCAGGGACTGTGAAAACCCGAGTCATAGTGCAGAGCTCACAGAGAGAATGAAAAATGAAACAGATGAGAATTTGAAGCAGTACTGAGGCTGTGAGCCACCAAGAGATGAGTTGGCACTTTCTGTTCTGCCTCCTTGTCATATTGCCTGAGAAAGGCTCAGGGGTGACATCTGAAAACATCAGCCCCAGAAATCACACCGTTCCTACCCCGTGTGAAGTGCTAGAGCTTAACTCAGTTTGCAGTCAATCAGACAGAAACAATTTCTGGTAGGTTTTGTTTCTATGGCTTTGTGTAGACTGCCTGTCCATAAATCACTGGTTCTACTACTTATTTCAATATTCATAGTAAATGATAATTAATCACCATATGCAATTCTTAAATCTATATATTGTTCATAATTGATTATGTGTACACTATTAATTTAAGTTTGTTTTAATGGAACATATACTGGTTTTGTTCTTTAAACCAGGGGACAGAATAAGTGACATACCTACAGTTTCAGTTTAATTTATAGACTGTTGTCTGATAGTATCTTATTAACTGAAGTTTTGTGAGCAGTTTAATGAGGACATTCACTATATTTGCAACAGGAAATGTGAAACATTAAATTAAGACAAATCTGTTTCACTTTTCCATTCAGTTAATAACTGTTTTTTCCAAAGCATTAATCTAGAAATAAAATTTTCAAAAGCATCTAACTGATTTAAGAATAGATGTCCACTTTCAAAAGTATTTTGAGACCTAAGTTCTATTGAGACTGAAATTCTTTCATTTGCTAGTTCATTACAATGTAAGTTCACCCAAATGCAAGGGATCCAAGCCACTGTGGTTTATGGAGTTACTCCTTGGCATCTGCCAATGACAAACAATCAAATATGTCCATTTTATTTAAAAAGCAAACTATCTAATTGGAAAGTGTGTTAGGTTAAACTGTTTACAGTGGTGGCTTGTCTTACCATACTCTACTTTTTCCTTTCAACAGATTGGGAGCATGTGAATAGGCAGTTAGTCTGGCAAGACTCATGGGTGGTAAATCACTAACCCAAAGTAATGGGTAAAGTAACTGTTTTGCAATTATGTGAATAAGTCCTATATATTTAACAAAATATTAATTGATGGAACTCTGTTCGTTTCAAACAGGAATTTGTGCTGAGGTACTCAGCCTGTCCTTCCTGAAACTTGGATCACCTGTAATTAGGCAATAACAAAAGTATACATTTTGATTAAGAAGCAAATTACGTATTTGTTGGGTTTTCCTGAAATTTTCTAGACTGCATTAATTCTTGGATCACTTCAAGCTTATAGTACCATTAAGTATCTTAACTGTAGCATGCCAGTTACACTTCAGAGTTACTAGGTCTGGACTCAGCTCTGAAACATGGTTTTGTGAGACTTTTTAAAATTTTTATTTCATTATGAATTTTTCCAAAATAAAATTTCTCCATAAATTAAATATTTCTCTGCTTGGGTTGATCACATAAAATGGGACTTGCCTGTGATTAACAGGGAGGCAGGAAGTCCCGAGGGTAATTCAATGTACCTGTCCAAGACCTGATCTTAGCCAGTGACCTGTTATCTGATGATTCCTGCCATTTACCCAGTTAGAGGCAAACTCTAGACCAGTGGTCTCCAAAGCAGGGTTTGCAAAGAGATGCACATCATTTTTATCAGCTTTGTTCCCAGCCCAAAAGTCAAAACACAGCACTGCACCAGCTACCAAGAAGGAGAAAAAATGACTGCTGCTGTTAAACCCAGGACAACTGGGGAACAGTAAAAAAATAATAGAACTTCAGTAGGAGATGTGTATAATTTATAAAAAATAAATATACATATATCGAGGGTGCATGCTCAAAAATTTTTACTGATAGGGTGCACAATCAAAAATGTTTGGAGACCACTGGTCTAGATAACTAACTCAGAAGTCACTTGAATATAGGGACCTGCAGAAGTGATGACACTGAATTTTGGCCAGAGGAGTTGTCCTAGATGTCTATCTCTGGACACTTGCAGAAGAGCTGACCAATATCTGGTCTAAAATGATAGCAGTGCTTGCATCAGCTTATGGGAACCCAAGTTAAAGGAAGGAAGTGACAGTTTCAGAACTTGCTAGCAGTCACTTAAAAAGTGTATTTCCCTTTTCCTAAAACAGAATAGAGATTAGTGTGGGGCTGGGAGGGAGGGGGAGGGGCTGGAGGGGGAGTGACAATGTCACATTTACTTCTGCTAGAACTAGAACTTCTGTTCAGATGCTCACTTTTAAACAAATGGGCTCACTTTTTCAAAAACCCTGTATGAACTGTATCTGCTACAAGCTGGTCCTTAGGTCTGTTTAGATCACTGCAAACACAAAACTACAGTTGTTCTTACACTGTAAGAATAATGTGTCTGTCTTCTACTTGTACATTTTTATAATACCCAGCTTCAATTTTTAAAATGTACTAAATTGAATCTGTACTAAAAAAAGAATATTTTTTCTTCACTGTAGGCTAATTGTTCTCCTCAGGGCTTTGCCACTAATCAAAGCAGAAACTGAAAGCAGAACTGTAATACAAACATGTTATGTAGGGAGAATTTTTACCCCAAAATGTTAAGGCAGTTCAGTTGTATGAACAATGTGCATGTGTATTTCATAAATATACAAACACATTTTTTAAAAAGACTAAAATCTATGAATATTTAGATAGCCGAGATAGCCGAGATCCCCAGCAAAAATTTCTTCTAAACTTAGAAATGGGAAAAATAATAATAACAAAAAACTTACCTAGCAGAACGCTCATTAAGAAAAGCCCAGAAGTGTTCTAACTTATCTTTGTCATGGATGAGGTCAGATAGATTAGGACCTGTCAGTTCTTTGGGAACTTGACGCAAGTGCTCGTCTTCTTTGAGAGCATCAGGGCAAGATGGCAGACCAGTGTCAGCAACAGTACTCTGAGGGAAGAAATTCTTTCACTTACATAACTGCTTTTTTTCATCCCTATGTTTTGCTCAGTCTGATAATCCTTGCATTAGATAACTTCTATCTCTGTAGAACAGCTTTTGATTGCTGAGAAAATAAATTAAAGCTCCAGCTCTTAATCAGCTTTAGTTTTATATTTGCTTTAAACATACCAGGTTCCATAATCAAATAAACAAATATATACCTGTGATTTACTTGAAATGTAGGTATTTATTCAAGATTAAGGACCCAAAATACATTCCACAGACTTTAGTGGAAACTGTTATTGTCTCCAATCATACAGTGGTCTGATGCTGACGTTACTGACAGAAGACCTATTTTTGTAATTAACACAATAGCTGTCAATCATTCCCCAGAATTAAAGGTAGAAGTCAGACTACTAGCTTCTCCAAACTGGCATGTAGTCAGCCTTTCATTGCTGATACTCAACCCTTTCTGATAGAAAAATGAGTTTGTTTTTGTTAGTAGGTATTTGTCTTACCTCATCCTTCTTGGAACCACTCTCTTGATTCAAAGCCTGGAGCTTTCTAAAGTACACAGAGTCCAGCTGTCGACTTTCCTCCACCAGCTCCACCTAATAAAAATAATCTCTTATGTCATCCCTACAGTACACGTTATAGAAAGATGGAGAGAACTGAACAGGCACCTTGCCAGTGACAGGGGATAGAAAAGGGTACATTTGGCAGTAATGAGGCTGATGTTTAGAAGATACTAGACATTACATCTTTATGAGAAACAATTCAATTAGAAGCTCTAATAGAAAAAAATCTTCATATCTGTGTAAGATAACGTGGATTTCCACAGGACACCATGAAAAAACAGTATCTTTTAAGAAATAGATTTGTATTAAAAAAATTGCTAAATTATATTGTGCATACAATCTATTGTGTATATACTCTGTTGTGTATATTGTATAAAATGCACCTAATTGCTTATACCAGCAAATTATGTATCAAACTCTCACTGAGAATCAGAAAAACAGTTTTTGAAACTGTGACTCTCAGTGGGAAATGTCGAAAAGATAGAGCAGCACAGATTTCCAGAAATGGAAATTTAAAATAGGAATGCTAAAATACCTAAATAACAAAGGTGAAAGCTTTCAGAGTTTCTTGGCACCTTCTTAGTTTTATACCAGGTAATGCTTTAAAATAATAAGTTGCCCATGGTTAGAACTCACAAAGTATTGGTGTTCTTTAATTTAATTAGAAGCCTCATGTATATAACTAGAGCAGTTCTCAGTGTTACATGAAAACAATCAGTAACTGCATAAGGAATAGTTTGATGAGCCTCTCAGCTGACTAAACCATTCAAATGCAGTTTTTAGGATATTTAGCAAAATTAAGCCAATGTGTTATACTGATCAGCACACCCACTACAAAGATTAGAAAGCCATGGTCTTATTATACATGCATTTATGCGCAAGAGAGAGAAGGCTGATTTTAAATTAGTATTCATTATGCTTTTGTCTACATGTGAACACCCACTAATCACAGTGTTATCTGAATGTCTTCAGGCTTGAAATAATTCTATTCCACTGTTATAAAGTGCTTTTGGATATTCTTTCCTTTGAAAGAAAACATAGTTTAAAAGTAAATAGGAAAATAATCCAGAACATTTTTTTATATAATTTAAACAGAAAGCAGATAGAGGCAGGGTAAGAGTCAACAATAAAAAGGGACTCTCCTGCTTTCATGTTCATTTAAAGATAAAAATGTAGATACATACTATGTCCCAAATAAACAATTTTGGACTCACCTAATTCTTGTTAAAATATCTTGTTTGATAATGGGCCAAATACATCCTCTTGTATGGTAGAACAAAAGGGAAGAGTAGAGCCAGGGACTGAACAAAATATAAAGCAGACCTTGTCTTTGTGCTGAGGTGTGTGCGCCTAAGCATCGGTCTGTGCTTAGTACAAAGAGACTCTAGTGCCTCCTAGAACAGGTCGTGTTATATCTGTGTATTATAACTCTTCACAAACACATGTATTGTGCACTCAAAAGTATTTAGTTTTGTTTTTTTCATGCTGATTAAGATGCTTGTGTTATTAGGGCACTGAGAAGTCTGCACGTAACTACACGTGCAAAGCAAAGCATCATCTAAACTGAAAGGGCAATAGGCTATCCCTCAGTTAACTCAAGGAGGTATAAACTGACAAACATTAATTTAAAGCAAAAGTTTATATTTTCAATTCTTTCTTTGGAGGAATTCTTCGATCACTAGAAGCAGTGAAAACACTGTATTTGGAGAGTGCTCAAAAGCAAAGTCCTTTTTGTATAAAAATAATGTATAATAATACTTGGCTGAGTCCATGACCTGACAGTGAGGACTGGCATTAACGACTAGACTACTAGTTTTGATAATACACATGGAAAATACACATTTACAAAACACTAAAACTAGTCTGATAGAAAGTAACCAAAAACTTCGTATTAATAAAATCATAGATCAATTACATGGTTTTCTGCAGTTCATCAACAATTACAGCTGAAATAGCTTAGAAAAAATAATTTACCTGAAAGCTGAGAAAAGATGCTGAAAAGTGAAGAGAATATTTTGCAGATGTGTTTGGATTGGTATATTTCATTTTTATAAGGTTTTTTCAAAGTTCAAATTTTCAACATTTCCGAAGGAGATTAATTTATCACAGGATGAGAGGGAAAGCCCCTGTGTGGATTAATTCTAAGGTAGAAAGTGCAAAATAAAGAAATAAATAACTTTCATTATGGGGTGGGGTTCCTATTAGAGTCTCACAGGGATCTGATCTGAGGTCGTTTTCTTTAAATATTCACAAATTATCTGGAAAAGGAAGTGAGTGAGGATACAGCAAAGTTTGCAAAATGATTCCACAGGGCAAAAAAAATTGTATTGACTTTGAAGAGCTGCAGGATTTCAGGGCACTTCAGTGTCTGCATGATAAAAGGGCAGCTGAGTTCAAAGACAACAAAAATTAAGTCATTCTAATAAACTCCAAATTAGGCTTTAGATTAGCTGTTCTTACTCTGTTAAGAGATGTTGGAATCATTGCAAATGGCTGTTAGCTTACATATTGCACATCCACTCAAAGTTCACCAGGAGTCAAAAGGCAGTTAGAACCAAGGAATAATTAGGAAAGGAACAAAGATCAAAACAGAAAACATGATTCTGCCACTGAATAATCCTTAGTGCATTCAGATCTTAAGCACTGCTTACATCTCATCACAAATATATGAATTAACAGATGGGGGTGATAAGTGTAACAAAGGTATGGAATGCCTTCTGTGGGAGGAAAGGCCAAATAGTCTAGGGTTCCAGAGTTTCAAAGAGATGTGACTGAAGTGGGATAAAACAAAAACATGTGAAAGCATAACAACATTAAGAATACAAGATAACAGTTGTACACTGTTCCTCATAAAATACAAAACTAGGGCACCATATGAAATTATCAGGGAGAGGTTTGCAAGAAAACCAAGATACACATTTTTTTCTCCTGTTGTATGGTTAAAACACAGAACCCATTACTGCACTGAGGCTGAAGATAGAAAGTTACTCAAGACACATTTACGTAAACCCATGGGGGGGAAAAAACCAACCTACTCATCAAAGACTACTAGACACAAAAATGCGGATAAGACCACTGCTTCATTCATCTCCTCAGTTTCAGAGTGCTGAAGCTGGCAATACTGCCTTTTTTTTTTTCTGTTCTTATACTATATTCTTAAATGTTTAATATTGGCCACCATTTAATAGGCTTAAAAGATCATTGTCAAGTTTTATTTTGGGTATCTGTTCTCTTGGTTATTCATACATGCATGCACAACATAGTAACAAAAATACACTGTACTACAAAACTGCCACAAAAGGGATTCAGAATCTTTTGTGGGGTCAATGCATGCGTGCACATTCTTGTTAAATGCTGACATAAGTATCAGCTGTAAGTAACAATATTTACTGTAAAAATTGAGATGCTAAGGTCATAGTGGAGAAAAACAGGAACAAGAACTAACTTCTGCTCTCAAACTCCTGATTTCTCATTGTAAGTTTCTCCTTCTGTACCTAAAAGATCTTAAAGACTTGGAATAAGAAGTTTGACCTGCAGCTGGTAACTTGTAGGAAAGTTTATAAACTGCAGAGAGCCACAGCATCCACCACTGCTCCACCATTTCTGATTTGTCAAAAGCACAGTCAGGATTGCAGCCATTTCCTCTGACCTGCATGAGCCTGCTCAATTCAAACCTTCAGAGGCTTTCTGGAATTAGAACTGAGTAGACCACTGAGCCACCTGCTTCAGGAAGCCTGTGGGGCACAGTTAGACCTTACACAGCAGGGCAGCTACCTAAAAAGTGTTCAGGGCAAATACAGCTGCATCACCATATCACATTTCCTCTTATGCTAAGCAGTAGCTGCACTTTAATTCTGAACACCAGGAAATAGTTGGTAGAATTAATATGAGCCTAACATCACAGTATTAACGCTCTAGACACACAGCTTATTTTTATTTGATCAATGATAAGATTGCAGAGACATGACACTTCCTGAGTACAAAGAGAAATTTTGCCATAGTAAGGTTCATTCCTCCCTATTTCACAGACCAAGGGGTCCATGAAGCTCGCACCTTCCTCTCGGATGAGAAATTTGCTCTCCACAAAATGCCCAGCTTGCTCCACTCATCAGTGTAGAAAGGAGTGGGTGAGCAAAACACCACATAATACTTCTCCCTTTCTGACTAGAAATGTAACAGGGTTGCGTATGAAGGCTTTTGTGGTTTTCTTTCACCATCATAAGAATTTTTCACTGTATCATCCAGTTGAGTTACCTTTCTGTAAGTATATTTGTCTTCTTCCATCATCTTCATCCATGGTTCTATCAGAACAGTGAGGATATATTCTTCTGCTGGGTCAAAAAGATCTTCAAAAGCTGGGTCAATTTTCTGATAAATCATGTTTCTCTTCCTCTGATGAAGTCCAATGTCCATACTGGCAGATGGGGCAATGTAAGTTGCATAAAGGAACTACAGTAAAACAGAAGAAAACTTATTCTAAGCCATCATCTGTTCCAATGGTCACAGTCCATTAGAGGAGAGAATGAATGCATATTTGTCCCATACTGCCTTGCTGCATATTCTAAACATATATCTAGTTTAGATACTAACCTAACATATACTAACCTATTTAGATAGATACTAACCTATCAGAAACCTGCCTTGTTTTCACCAATATTACAATTTTGCCTGAAATTCAGTTGTTGCCATAACTGACTTCCCTGCCATTTTTACTTTTTCAACTAAAGTTAGATCACAAATTAACACTTAATGTAATTTTTATTTGGAAATATTTGGCTGATCCTTGTTAGATTCAGGAACCACAACCATTACAGCAACTGCATTCTTCATGAAGTTGCATTGCTGTGTTGCAGAATACGTGCTAGGCCAACTTGTGAAGGTGTCTTCTTCTGAATAGATGGGAATTTGTAAATCTAAGGTTAAAATGAGTGAAAAAGTGATTTAATTCTGTGTTGAGATTCTCATGCACAGTTCTTTGGCATGAGTGACACTATCATGAGTGACACTATCATGGTATAGGATCCATAACATGAGATAGCACTGCACAATTGAGTTCTAAATACTTAGCAAAGCAGGGATTACAATATGCTTTTTTGTGGAGCACACGGAGTTTGCCATATACAAACAGAAGAAAGCTGAAACTGGAGTGTTTCATTCTCTCTATCAGTTCATTCTTGAAGCATAGGGTAATTTTTTTTTTTTTTTTTCTTTTTTTGGTCCAAATAGTCCCCTAAGTCAAATTCTTGGTTTTTAAATGTTTCAGAAATTGCCATGAAAAAGAACACAGAAAACTCAGTGAAAAACACTTTCTGCCAGGAACATCTTGGAAGAAGATATTCTAGAATATCTTTCTAATACATCATGATTCTGACTGCAGCTAAGAAAGCATGTGAAAAAAAGATTCTGCCATAGTAGATGTCATGTACTTATAAATGTTTTCTCTTCTTCATATTTTCAAAGTCTAACTAATAGTCAAACATATGTTCAAGGGATCAGATTAGTAGCATAATCAAATTTCTCTCTATCATGGTCTTGAGGAGCCCACCTTCACTGTTTATTATCACACAGTTTTGACAGTGAAGAATGGACGTTTCTGATAATTCTCATTTTCCTTATGTTGCTAAAATATAGCTGTAACTAGCAGATGTACAAAGTGGTAGAGAAGAAAATAATATATTTACTCTGTGTTCAGCAGTAATAAAACTGTTGTGTTTAAATTTCAAGCATAGAGAATGTTTGCTTACATTGAATAATCATGTTTCTGTTTGTTTTAAATGAAATTCTGACCTATTAGACTCTTTCTTTAAAACCACCAGACTACATTCCTATTGTTCTGGACCTTAACAATTTGAAACACACCCTTTAGACTCTCCTGATACCAGGTCACTGAGGAATACAGGGCTATGATGGCTGACATCCATTCCCCAGTTAGAAGTTGTTATGATTACTATATTCACTCTTTATGCAGCATTCCACCCCCTTTCTACATCCCTGAAAACATGGCTATCCATGTTATCAGTGCAATAAAAACTCCAGGTGTAGGGGTAAGGTCAAAGAATGAGGACATCCACAAGAAGAGTCATAGCAAGTTGAGAATAATATCACATTTGTCCTAAATTATGCCCTCCTCAGCAAATCCCCAAATATATTTAAATTTAACAGAGACAGCATTAATTAGATACAATTAGTGATATCAAAAAGTTGGATGTTATGTTGAAAAACCCTAACACTAGAAAAGTTTCATTTACATCATGTTCAACTCTGATCCAAAACATTTAACATATAAAATAGCCAAATTAGAAGGGACTAGTCCAATGATACCAAGTATCTTCAAAAATAGAGGGCTTAACTATTTTGTTCGTCATTAGGGCTACATTGCTCCACCTATTATGGAGTGGAGCATATAATCACACAAGAGATCTGTAAATTGGTGAAAAGGGTCATATAATCACACAAGAGATCTGTAAATTCGTGAAAAGGGTCCAAACCAGGTCCTTAATATTTTAACCTGGTTCCTTAAGTGGCTGATCATTTTTAGCATAGGTTTAAGAATAAAATCAAAACAAACATTGCACAAGTTTCTTGGATGAAACTCTTTTTTCCCCTTGTAACTTCGTATGAAATGAGTTAACTTGAGCATATTTGCTACTTTTCTTTAGAGCTGACAAAAACTTTCAGCCTACAGAGTCAGAAATTGCCCAGACTAAGGAAGCTCTGGTCAAAAACTGTTGGTAATCTGTTCACATAAACACTGTCACAATATATTGTCATTTTAAGGTCTGCTTTTGCAGGGTGCTCTGCCTGCAGAACTCCTTCTCCCCCCCCAATCCCCAGTCCTGTATCATTTCACACACAAAACTGGAGCATGGTAAGTACAGACATTTTTTTTCCCAGAAACAATAGTTAGGGCTATTACATGTGAATAGTTAGGTCTAATACATGTGAAGCAGAAATTTAGAGGTGGTTAGGCTAGCTACAGGAGTCCACTTTTCACAACATAAAGGACCAGACCCTCAGGGCTGTTATCAGGATGGCCTCTTCACTTTTGAAGGATGCAGATTTACAGTGTCTGAGGATTTGGCATAATGCCATCTTTTTCTTGAATTCTGGTAAGAATCCATTGTTATGGGATTCGGCCCACCAAGTAGAAAGATAACTTCACAAGGTGACAAAGTGAATGCAGACGGGAGAAAAGAGAAGGAGCATCCATCCCTGTGTCCCTTGCTGAGGGTTCAGGTGCATCTGTAGATGTAGATTTGAATGCAAGGACTGCAGATAAGTGACTGATACAAGTTCCAGACATGCCAAAATAGAGGAAAAGTGGCTGTGTTCACAGACTTTAACACTGGGAAATGAACTTAGCAAGATATAGTGGGAAAATACATTTTATCCTTTAAAAAAGCATATTCATAGCCTTTTTTGACTCCCATGTCATGGAAGTCTTGTGGGTTTCTGAATCTCAATGAATTAGTGAAACTGTTTTACTGGCTAATCTCCTAAAGCATCAATGGGAAAAATGACATTAAATGAACTTAAAGGTTATCGAATTCATACAAAAATCTTACGCATGTGACATCAAGAGCACATCATACTTTATTTATTCAGTGTTTTGCTCCTTTTGTAACACACAAAGAATTTTCCTACCTGCCAGCTATACATTTTCCTATAATTGCATTAGGATAAGTGATGGATTAAACCCAAAAACCTATCTGGAAATTTGATCAGAGCTTGCATCTTATAATGGCACAAATCTGAAGATACAGAATGTTTAAGAAATTCAGATTAAGTCTTTAACCTCATTTATGACTTTCCATATCAGGACTTGTTTAGGCCTTGGGTTTTGGTGTGAATTCAGCCCCCACATGAGAAGACTTTGGTAAGCAATTGCAGAATGACTAGAGTGAAGCAAGAAACACGAAAAATATTGAACTCCAAGTGCCTTGTATTGCTGCCGAAGGCATGAATATTGATCTGATCTAAACAATGAGCTTGTGCAGCTGCTCAACAGAATCATATGATGGAAGAATGCAATGCACTGGCTGGTCTAAAATGGAAAGGTTAAACTGCCTTAACCCTGTCATCACATTCCACTAACATAAATCTTATGTCTGACTCTAAAAGTTAACAGTAATGATAATTCCCTTTATCTGAATTGATTCTAGTGTTAAAATATTGTGCTTCCTATAACTGCATTAAATCTTCTAACTATAAATAACTATTTTTTTATCCAAAACTACAGTATCTTTTTCTTTATTGCTTTTCTTTCTCAATTTATTTTACACTCATGTGTGTATGTTTATAGTGAATAACCATATGCGTTCCTGGATGATTACCTCTACTCATCGTTATTTTTATCCATCAGATTTCATTCTTACTGTAGTTTCTGTTCCTGGGTGAATGAATACATACCTTGGAATGCATTTTCTTACTCTATCATAAAAACGCCTAACAAATGAAACAATGACTAACAGATACACAGCAATCCGGGTTTGCTCTCGTTTCTAACAGGAAGCAGGCAGAACACATACAGAATACTTTGGATGTGTCTTTCTGTAATAAATAGTAAAATATACATGATGATGTGTTGCGTGAATCTGACCCACATTCTCTTAGGAATATTTGGAATGACTATCTTATTGTGCCAAAGGTGAGCACAGAATTTGGGAAGGCATCTCTTCGATAAGCAGACCCTGTAGATTGGTTGCAGCTTGACTCTTTACAGTGTTCCAATGAAAACAAGAATTATATTTGTGCAGCCTTAAAAGGCAAGCTACAGAATGATACCAAATGTTACAGCACATGTGTTGATTTGTTATGTTACATTTCAGCTGTTAGTTATGCTAATGGAACAGTTTCACATATTTCGTTTTGATGTATTTACTTTAATGGCCATGTGTATGGAACTCTCTGTAATTGCCTGGTAACACTGATTGTATGATGTTCTGCTGTCACCACCAGGCCAGCACTGGAAATAAGTAAAAAGGACCTGGGCCATGCGAACACTGCAGAAAAAATATGAGCTGGTGTGAAATGAAACCAAATTGAAACTACCATGGACAATTAGCTAAGATTTGGCCTACAACAAAACATACAGGAAAATGAAGACAATCTAGGTATGGTTAACTTGTACACCTGTTGTGAGCAGTGTCCCTAGCCACTGGGCTGGGCTAACAGGGGAGACAGTCAGCCTCAGGCCATAAGTAGAGCTGGAGGGGAAAACAACTAAATAGAGTAGCAGTTTAAGTTAGCCAGTGTGTGACAGAAGGGAGCCTCGGCCTCTGCTTGGTGTTTCCATACAAATAACGCTCACTCAAGTGGTAATTCTGGACAAATACACAAAATTTTGTCATTTGCCCCAGTAAAACCTCCAAATAGGAAAAGAAGACAAATAGAAGGAAGTCCAGACGCTCAGTAACATAAACCATACAAAGAGATTATTCTCCACTGCTGTCTGTGATATTAATTTCAAAGACATGAAAGACATGAGGTAGCTTTCCTTATTACAGCATATATTGAAATACACAGATACGATATACTCCTACACAAGGTTTGCAGAAGGAAAACAGACCAAAGCTTCACAAAGTAATTTTAAAAGTTGCAAGTTCTAATGATATCACACTGCTGAAGCCTCCTTCCCTGGCAGTGTCAGACTATTCTGCAGTTGTTGACAGCATCAGCATGCATGGCCTGTGATGAGCCAGTTAAGTTTTGGTTTATTCCCTGACTCACAGTGCATGCTCAATTTAGGGTGCTTGTTTATAGGAAATATCAGTTCCACTCAACAGTTAAGTGAGGGTCTAAAGATCAAATGGAAAGGATGACAACTGCAAAAAGAGCATATCGATGCCCTGACAATTGGAAAAAGCAGAACATACCAGTGAAAGATCCATTTTCATGACTAAGGTCATTATCTAAGGTCTGGACTGTGAGACCTGCAATTCTAACTCACACAGGTCGAAGCAAAGGTAAAGCACAATTAGATGATTTAGAAAAATATTATCTCTGATCTTAACACTGAGCAGATAGCTTCAAATATGACACAGAATAACAAAGGGGAGATTAGGTAAGATGAGTGTAATAGATAAAACTGGAACAGGCAGCAGAGCCTAGAAATCAAACTATGCATGTTTAACATTTAAATCAAGAAATACCATGGAAACAATCCAAAGAGCTTCTCTTATTGTCCACAATCCAGATTTGCTTTGGTGTGGGTTGTCAAGGTTTGGAGAATTTTCTGCTTTCTATCTTCTTTTCAGTCTTTACACTGAACAAACGTATTTTTGAAGGGAATGAACAAGTGTATTTTTGAAGGGATAACGCATTATCTACAACTTACTTGAGCTTGTTTGCAGATTTTGAAAGGATGAAGAGTTTCTTGGTAGAAAAGCTGATGATAAGCTTGTAGGTCAAACCAAAAGTACACGCTGTTCTTCCACAACTACAGATGAAAAATATTGTAAGTTATTGCTACCCAAATATCACAGCTTTATAAAAGGTTCACTTTCCAATGCAAGTAGTTATTTATCTCCTTGGGGTCACCTTAAATCAAGCTCAATCTAAGATGGATTTAATCTTCTGATGCATATTGGCAGAAGGACAACATATTTAATGGTATCATCACTGTGATATTGTATCTTTTATTGAATCCTTTATGCATAATTGGCCATTAAAATTGTTAACATTGTAGTTAACATTTGAAAAGTAACCACATTTCAGTGGCATAAAAGCCAGCGCTAAAGAAGAAATGCTGATAACGGACATGCAAAATTTGTACCCTGGTGAAATAGCATTTTGCAGCAGTAACCGAAACAATTAAATATTGTGTACTTGATGTATGTTACTGGGACTATCATTACATTTTTATTACATGCATTTCTGAGGCACAGTGTCTTGGCCTCATTTCATAAATTCAAACAAACATCAAAAGTTATTTCAGAAGGAGGAGTCTTTCCCCCTGTCCTCTCTTTTAACCATGTGCTTATGGGGTTTGGATCTTAAAAATACCCTGAAAACCTTATTGCTGAACAATAAAGATAGTGTCCCAAAAAGATAGGGGCAGGGAACTTTGTTCCACAAACTGTAGGCTGCCAGACCTGGCATATGAGTGAAATAGGCTCCACAGTTGTAGTTGAAACTAAAGGAAATAATTTTCAAAAGAGTCTGGCACCTGCAAAGACTAGAGGCCATGTGGATAGGTGCTTATCTCTGATGAAAAAATAAGTTACTTTTATGTAGATTTCTATCTATACACATCTAACAGTTTTAGATGAAGGTATTCAGCTTTAGAAACATTGGCTCTTGCCTTCTGGTAGCCAAAGGCATTTTTAGCTACTGCTGCTGGATTCTGGGTTGTGCCAACAGTGAAACAGATGTCCATCTTGATTGCACTCAAATTTCCCCTAAAGACTCAATTTTTCTGCAAAGCCACTGAACACTGACTCAGATTCATAACTTGTTCCAACCAATCCTCAATTTACACCCAGCAATGAATGATGGATCTGCTGACTACAGAGAAGAAATAGTGTTAAGTTTCCCAGAAATCCAAGAAGCTTCATGGAAGCAGAAGAACGTTTTTAAAGCATTGGAGATTTTGGGCATCACTAACCCAACAAGTAAGAAGGAGGTATATTATAATGAGTAATAGCAGAGCAGATTTTCCATCTTTATAAAAAATGTTTTTGTGGGTTAAGACCTCATTTTTTCTGCCAAGTTAAAGGCTAGTTTTTAAGAACGATTAGTCTTTTTTTATCCCTGATGGTACAATCAGATTTCCAGTCGGTCTGAGACAGTTAGGATCTGACAGCTTGGTTAAGACCTGTCATTAGTTTGAATATACACATGAACAGTTTATTGTTGTTGAGGGATTGAAGTCTCATAAGTAATAATTCATCCAGTCATCAATCTTTCTCCATTTTGTTTTCAGTCTGGCTGCCCTCTATAACTTGGCATTCAGTCAATTGTAGACTAAATTATCACAGGGTAGGAAAATGCTCATACCTTATTCCCTGACTTCTCACAGAACTGTGTGAAGTAGTAGCCTGCTCTGTTGTCCAAATAAAGAGACTGCAGCATGCTTTCCATTCTTGATCTCCTTAAGACAGCACTGCCAGCAGCACTTTCCCCCTGGACAAATAAAATACAGTTATACAGCAAGAATAAGAAGGTTTTATTATTTTCAAATGTCAGTACAACAATGGAGGGCCATGCAGTGTGTTCAATTAGTATCTTCATTTCAATAAATTAGACTCCATTTTCTACTACATATGCAGTTGATCATAACTCTCCATACCTTTTCCCCACTAGGTACTCACATCCAATGGAATAAGTTTAATGACTGAAGGCATGCAGAGTAGCAAAACCGCCATAGTATCCTTTAGGTGGCTCTTCAATACTTGAAACAAAAAAGCAAACCTGGCCTTATTTCTGTCATTAACTCTTTAGCTCTGAATTCACGGAATTCCAGTGATACTAGACCATATTACTTAGCTGTCAAAAGCTGACTGAGGTCAGGCTACCATGCTTGGGATTAAGTTAACAGGTGATTATTTGGTCAAGCCTCAAAACAGTTAACTATCATGGAATAAAAGATTTGTTTCCTGGGCTTACACACTGACATCAGCAACAAAATCATGAGCATTTAGGGGGCAAGAAATCCATGCTCTTTAATCTGGCTAGCTCCTGAAGCATTTGAGGAAGGATATATCCATTTTAACAATGCTCACAGAGAAGCTGGAGGAGGTTACAAAATGGTAAGTTTCTGATGATCACAAGAGGGAAACTTTCGCTGATTTGATGTCTCTGATAGCTGAAGTGGGAGCAGATGAGTCTGGTGGCTGACAACAAGCTTCTTTCCCAACAGTAACAGTGATGGAGAAGGGCAGGAGAAAGCCAGATTTCTGAAGCAGAGTAGGAATAACCCCCTCCCCAGTATGAAGTTGAACTATGAATTCCTGCATTCCCCTTTGCATCATGGCAAACTGGGATAGTGACTGTAGGCTCCCATCTAGCCTTGTACATGTAAATGGGTAGTATTTTCTTCTCTCAGCTAGAGGGAAACTTTGAATTATGAAGTTGTATAAAAACTAATAGTTCATGGTGTGAACATTTCCTGAATGTAAGTTTCTGACTGCAAATGTCCCCTAATTGCAAAGACTAGCCTTCTGTCAAAATTAACAAAGAAGTAAAATGGTTTCAGTGAAGTAAGAAAGTATGATTTTGATGTAAAAAAACAATCAATCATGTGCTCAAGTGATCAGTGAACTCCATGCATATGTAAACAAGCCCAGATTTCATAATATGGTGGGCTGTTCTAGTTGTGAGACCATGGGTATCAATATCTCACTGAAACAGCAGGCTGTTTTAAGACCATTCCACAAACATGAAAGGTTTTGAATATATTGTAAATTGCCAGATCTTGACACCTCATACGTTCAGTTTGTCAGCATTTTAACAACTATTGAAAAGAGGCTCTACTGTGTAGCCTACGCCTCCTGAAGTTTGCCGGATTGAGGGCCTGCTTAGCAGGCAATAATTCAACAAAGAGTGGATTACACAAGCAACAAAGAGGAATAGTACAAGTGAAGCATTTTTCTCTTCAGAATTTTATTATTTTAATGACTTTCTAGGGCAGATTCAGTTTTCACTGTAAGTCTGGTATGATCTTCTAGGCAGTGATTCTACTGAAGCATTTCTTCAGTGAGTTTTCCATAATAGCCTACTGAACACATGGTCACCATGGAGAAGATCAACATTTTCTAGTGAAAATAAACCTCTGTATATGCCATGATTTCCTACCAGATAGGTGAAAGATACCACACAAAAATGCTGACATTCTAATTATACCTCTGCATAAGACATGGACATTTAGGTAATCAAAGCAATTTCTCCCCATCATTGACTACTTCCCCTTTAATACTAGAGAATAAAGTGTTTTAACCCATGATTCAAGATTACTAACGTTTTTAAATAGTACTTACTTGGAGCAGCTCAGCATAGGTGTACTTTCTACGGCCCTGGTATTTTGAGTCTTTGGTGTCATCCAAAGCTGAGTAATGAATCATGTCTCTGTTGGCTGACTTTGCCCTGGATCCACAAACAAACAAAATTTTCAATACATACTTAAGAAAAAATTTAAGAAATATTTAAGAAAAAAAGGGGCATGGAAAGAGGTAGAATGACATAGTGAACAGTATAGGAAAAAGTACATATAGAGTTCAAACTTATAATAAATGTAAGGAATGTAGAGGACTACTTTTTCATGCAGCCCTGTGGAAATCACTGATACAGCATGTCTTTGAGGGTAAGTGCTTGAGACAGGTTAAAAGAATATTAATATATGTAGAGAATATCAACTATTACACAAATGAGGGCAAAACACTTGTGTTTGGAGAAATAAACACTTCTGTGTGGTGGCACAAACAAATGGGAAACTAATCAGCCAGGGAGGAATTATCCATGCATGCAATCTCTACCATAAGTGTGCTTCCCTAAGCAGATCATTATATTAAAGAAAAATATTCATTAAAACAGTAAAATCTAAAAGTCTTTCATAAGTATTTGAGGTACACTGGTATAGAATCAGAGTAGTTAGGGTTGGAAAGGACCTTAAGATCATCAAGTTCCAACCCCCCTGCCATGGGCAGGGACACCTCACACTAAACCATATCACCCAAGGCCTCGTCCAACCTGGCCTTGAACACTGCCAGGGATGAAGCATTCACAACCTCCCTGGACAACCTATTCCAGTGTCTCACCACCCTAACAGGAAAGAATTTCCTCCTTATATCCAATCTAAACTTCCCCTGTTTAAGTTTTAACCCATTACCCCTTGTCCTATCACTACAGTCCCTAATGAAGAGTCCATCCCCAGCATCCCTATAGGCCCCCTTCAGATACTAGAAGGCTGCTATGAGGTCTCCACGCAGCCTTCTCTTCTCCAGGCTGAACAGTCCCAACTTTCACAGCCGATCTTCATATGGGAGGTGCTCCAGTCCCCTGATCATTCTTGTGGCCCTCCTCTGGACTTGTTCCAACAGATCCATGTCCTTTTTATGTTGAGGACACCAGAACTGCACACAGTACTCCAGATGAGGTCTCATGAGAGCAGAATGAAGGGGCAGGATCACCTCCTTCGACCTGCTGGTCACACTCCTTTTGATGAAGCCCAGGATACGGTTAGCTTTCTGGGATGCAAGTGCACACTGAAGCCGGCTCATGTTGATTTTCTCATCGAACAACACCCCCAAGTCCTTCTCCGCAGGGCTGCTCTGAATCTCTTCTCTGCCCAGCCTGTAGCTGTGTCTGGGATTGCTCCAACCCGGGTGTAGGACCTTGCACTTGTCATGGTTAAACTTCATGAGGTTGGCATCAGCCCACCTCACAAGCGTGTCAGGGTCCCTCTGGATGGCATTCCTTCCCTCCAGCGTATCAACCAAACCACACAGCTTGGTGTCATCGGCAAATTTGCTGAGGGCGCACTCAATCCCACTGTCCATGTCAGCGACGAAGATGTTGAACAAGACCAGTCCCACCACCAGTCCCTGAGGGACACCACTCATTACAGGTCTCCAGCCAGACATCGAGCCATTGACCACAACTCTTTGTGTGCGGCCATCCAGCCAGTTCTTTATCCACCGAGTGGTCCATTCATCAAATTGATCTCTCTCCAATTTAGAGACAAGAATGTCATGTGGGACAGTGTCGAACGCTTTACACAAATCCAGGTAGATGACATCAACTGCTTTACCGCTGTCCATCAGTTCTGTAGCCCCATCATAAAAGGCCACCAAATTGGTCAGGCAGGATTTCCCCTTGGTGAAGCCATGCTGGCTGTCACCAAGTACCTTGTTGTTTTTCATGTGCCTTAGCATGCCTTCCAGGAGAATCTGCTCGAAAATTTTGCCAGGCACAGAGGTGAGACTGACTGGTCTGTAATTCCCCGGGTCATCCATTTTCCCCTTCTTGAAAATGGGGTTTATATTTCCCTTTTTCCAGTCGTCAGGAACTTCACGTGACTGCCATGATGTTTCAAATATGATGGCCAGTGGCTTAGCAACTTCATTTGCCAGCTCCTTCAGGACCCGCGGATGGATTTCATCAGGTCCCATGGACTTGTGCACGTTCAGATTTTTAAGATGGTCTCGAACCAATTCCTCTCCTACCGTGGGCCCAAGGTCTTCATTCGCACAGTCCCTGCGTCTGCCTTCCAAGACTTGGGTGGTGCGGTCAGAGCCTTTGCTAGAGAAGACCGAGGCAAAGAAGTCATTCAGAACCTCAGCCTTCTCGAAATCCTGTGTAGCTAGTTCATCCAAGAGCTTCCTGAGGGGGCCTACGTTCTCCCTAATCTGTTTTTTATTTGCTATGTACCTGTAGAATCCCTTCCTGTTATCCTTAATATCCCTAGCCAAGTTTAATTCTAACTGGGCCTTAGCTTTCCTAACCTGGTCCCTAGCTTCCCGGACAACATCCCTGTACTCTTCCCAGGCCGCCTGTCCTTGCTTCCACTTTCTATAAAACTCTTTTTTCATTTGAATTTTCCTCAGGAGTTCCTTATCCATCCAAGGAGGTCTCCTGGCCCTCCTGCTGCACTTCCTTCTGGTTGGGATGCAACACTCCTGAGCTTGTAGCAGGTGATCCTTGAAGACCAACCAAGAGTCTTAGCCCTCCTTGTCCTCTACAGCTATATCCCATGGAACCTTACTAAGCAGGTTCCTGAAGAGGCCAAAGTCTGCTCTCTTGAAGTTCAGGGTAGTGAGCTTGCTGCATGCTCTTTTCACTGTCCGTAGGATCTCAAATTCAACCATCTCGTGGTCACTGCCTCCCAGGCTGCCCTGCAGTGCCACATTTCCAACGAGCCCTTCCCTGTTGGTGAGCGCAAGGTCAAGCATGGCGCCTCTCCTTGTCGGTTCCTCTATTACTTGCAAAAGGAAGTTGTCTTCAATACAATTGAGGAACCTCCTGGATTGCTTGTGCCAGGCCGTACTGTCATTCCAACAGATGTCAGGGTGGTTGAAGTCACCCATGAGAACGAGGGCCTGTGAGCGTGAGGCTTTTCCTATCTGCCTATAGAGTGCTTCATCCACAGATTCCTCTTGATCAGGTGGTCTGTAACATATCCCCACAGTAATGTCTCCCATTGCTGTTTTCCCTTTAACCCTGACGCACAAGCTCTCTGTTATCTGCTCACCAGTCCCCAGACAGAGTTCTATACTCTCCAGCCTATCCCTAACATAAAAGGCAACTCCCCCTCCGCGCCTGCCAGGCCTGTCTTTTCTAAAGAGTCTGTAACCTTCCATTCCAGAAAGAAGTGCAAGGGACTTCTATACTTACCACTTTCTACTGGTAGAAATGTCATCTCTTTGGGGTCTCTGTCTTGATGGTAGGGTAGGTGATAATCTTGACGATTTCTTCAAAGAGAAATTTGGCATAGGTGGTTTTAATAAAGTTGTTGGTGAGCTCGTTCTACTTTTCTAAAAGACACAACAAACAGAAAAATAAGACAATTCTAGTTATTTTTCCGCCTTTGTGTTTTCTTAATATGTTCTCATTAACTACTAAAAATATTCAAGAGTTTTCAGGTCTATTTTTCCTTGCCAATCACAGTATGCAAAACTGCAAATTGCAAAAAGCTTCTCTGAATATTTTGCAAGATTTTTCAGCACATTGTAATAACCATTATAGCTTTAAAATTGTTTTTTTAACAGGTAGAAATGGTCCATCAGCTGATTCTGTGAGGTGCATGAGTGCTAGGTCATCGTTTTCTTCAAGTACTGAACTCAACAGGGACTGGAAAACCTGCAGAGTTAGGGTCCTGTCTGCCTAACCTACAGCTAGTCCTGGATCATTAGCACACCTTGTGAAGCCAGAACTGGTCTCTGTAAGAGGCAGCCGTGCCTGGCTCCCATTCCTGCTGTGATCAGCAGGAATCTGGCTCCTGAACCCAGCTTCTTCTGAACAGGAAATCTGTCCCACTGCTTTTCCTCCCCTGTCTCATGAATTTGCTTTCTAAAAAATAAAATTGTAGCCTGAAACTATCCAACTCAAAGTAACAGATGTGTGTGTGAACAGATCCATGGCATAGCCCATCCAGTTCTTGATACTGGAACCACAGACCTGAGTCGCTTTCTCCAGGTACATTCTGTCTTGAGCCTTAACACTGTGTTGCTGAAAACCAGAAGCTTTCATTGCAGTTATCTGTCAAATTCAGGCTTTCAAGCAAGAGTCAAAACTGAAGTGGCCACCTGCAAGTGACATGCTACAAAAAGGTCTGTGTTGTGTGTTTTAAAACCCTCTATAGAAGTAAAAATCGTGTAGCTGACTGAAGGATTCAGGCAACAGAAGATGAGAACTGTGCCCTTTTTACAAACATAATGGGTAAATTCAGGGTAACTGCAGTGAAGTAAGGATTAATCTGAATTAAGATAAACCTGGTTGAAGGGCATAATCTGTGCCAATAGATACTTAATTTTACATTTCAATCCAAAAGACCTATGAAATAGCCAGGATGTAACTGAAAAGATAATTTGACTCATTTTATAGCATCCTGTTGCATATAGTAAAATAGTGTTGCATTTTTATATACAACCATCTGCCACAGACCAGTTTGCTAATCTTGACTTCATAAGAACCAAGTACCGTATTCTTATTCCACTGAATTCAAGGAGTTTTATCGCTATTTTTGATGGGACAAGCCTTTGTTTTTCAATTTTGTGATCCTACCTACCTGAGAAAGGGAAGGTGGTATCTTGGGTATGGAAGACTTAAGTGTCAATGGTAGCAATGATACTATATGTGGAAAAGGATCAATGTCCACCCTTGGTCTCTGTTGGCATGTGTGCCACATCTTCAGTTTTGCACTGGCAGTTTGTATTGCTGTTGAATAAGTGACACAAAATCTGGGACCCCTAGAAGGGGAAAAAAAAAAAAAAAGCAAAAAAAAAAAACCAAACACAAATCTAAAAGTAGAAATTTCACAAAACATTAAATAGTGGGCTATTTGGCTTCTTTCCCCTCCTCCATAATGGTGTTTCTTGTATCAAAATATGGAGCTATGTGCTCCTCAATTTAAAAAGCATTTAGTGTTAAAGATATATTTAGACATTGCACTCTTCCAAATCTAAAACCAAGCCAAACATAAATAAAGTTAGATTGCAAATTCTGTACCATTACGTAGTTGCCCTTGTGTGAGTCTACAGTAGGATATGCCCCATCCACCCTACAGCAAATAATAGGGAAGGTTTGTAGGTCATAGAACATACACCACAACTCTCCTGAGGCTCCACAGCAAAGTTCACAATTGCAGGTACTTGTTCATGTCTGTAATTGGTTGACCCCCTTGGGGAGGAGAGAATATGTTCAAAAATGTAGCTTATGTTTTGGAAACAGGTTAGAATTTATATCATTGCTTAAGCTGTCAATAAAGCAAAAAGCATTTTGTATGACAGACATTGAACAGTAAAGTCTCAGGGTCAATTTCCACATAGATGTATACACAGAGCATCCTCAGAAACTTGAGAAGGGCAGTATGGGAAACAGCTTAGGACAGAATTAACCTTCTATGCCTGGAGGGGTTTCTCTGACCTCCAGCCTAAGGTTTACTTGATTGGTATCCAAGATAATTATACACAAAGTAGCTCAGGCACTTTGGCAGTAAGATAACAAGGGCTCGGTAAGGCAGATCTACCTGACTTGTCAGCAGATTGCAGTGTAGTTTAGGATCAACTAAAAATTCAGATGCAACATCTGCTAGTATTTATGATGACATTGCTCCCCATAATTGCCATGGAGTAAGTGAAGTGAAATAAACCTAATAAGCTTATCAAAGAAAAGGAAAATTTATTAAACAATAAAATTTTAGTTCATGTTCACTTTTTCGTACCAGTAAAGAAGCAGAGGTTTCACTACTTCAGGCTGAATCCGTCTTAAATGCCTTACATTCCACTGATCTCCATGCAGCAAGTTAAGCCTGAGTAACACTTCTGAACTGAGGAAGTAGTCTCCACTGCTCAAAAGATACAGTTTCTTCATCTTATTGAGTTGCCTTGAGTCAACAAAAATAGTCATAAGCATGTACCAGATGCTATACAGAACCAAGTACAGTTCACCCTACTGGTTAAACTGCTGTCATGCAAAGTGTTTTAAATAGAAAATGGCACAAGCCAAAAGAAAAAAAATCCACAAATTAGAGACAAGTTGTGTGTAAAATGTACAGTGCTTTAGAATAGACAATCTGAGTTCCACAGAGCCATTCATTAAAAGTGGTTTGCCATACTGAATGCCCTACTTGTGGATTTAAGTTTTTAGGTGGTTTGGTTTTTTTTTCTATTGTCACCTGTTTTCCAAATTTCTTTCTAAACAATGCCATAATACTATGGTAATTCTGACTTCATGTAAGCTTTGCAAACATGACTGCAAAAACGGTTTTATCAGCTTCAACAGTCATTCCTAACTTGTTATGACACTCATGATTACTTTAATTGTGTCTGTACTATTCAAACATTACAAGTTATTCTGAAATCTCAAAACCTGCATTAATCCAGCTGGGTTACAAGTATTAAAACAATGGGAATAACCATTAAATAATGAGAAGTACCTTTGCTGCCTTGTTGTATTTTTGAGCACCTTTAGTCTTTCAATATCCATCCAGAGGCACCAGTACCTCTCCCCAAGTGTTCCTTTAATGAACTTCTTGAATCTCTCAAACTCATGTCTGTTGCCAGTATCAGAAGTCCTGTAACTAATACACCAGGCTCTACTGTCTGACTCACCACTTTCAGAACTTGATTTTAAGCTTACTTCTTCAGTGTCTTGTTCTCTTACATCTCTGTGGGAGTCCAAGACAGAAAATGGAGAACTTTGGGAAAGGAGTGACTCTGCAGTGCCATGGACAAATTCATTATTTGATAGCTCATGTATAAATAGTTCAGGCTGTTTGTGGAAATCCACATTACTGTGAATGTCAGCAGTTGGCTGGTGAGTCGATTCTGAAGCAGGTTCCTTCATTACAAGTTGGGTATAATCTGGTATGAATTCTCCTGGTGTCTGAATAGTTACGCTTTCCTGTTCATTTTTTTCTTTTGCTGCACTGTCCCATTTCGGGTCTACATAAACTCTTAACTGAGTATGAGCAGGTGGTTCAGCAGTGGCCACAGAAGAGCCCTCCTCAGCCTCTCTGCATGTCTTCCTTAAAATGATGGCTTTTGCTTTCCTTGAAGGGTGAAGGAAACTCCATTGGTGGCCTTCCTTAGACAGGGAACCTGCTTCTGCATTAAATCAGAAAAGATCATTGAAGACTCTTTAGATTCAGGACCATTCTGTTGCATATCAACATTTCCAAGTTAAAAAATGCAAAATATTTTTATATTGTTCTACTGCAGAACAATCAGACCATGTCACACTGCAGAGCAGGGAATAGCAGTGGTCATTCTGCTGTTGCTATGGGTTTAGAAATTCAGCCCCATGACTCAGAAACTCATTCCCTGTTGAATTCCAGCAGAACATGAGAGTTCAGGAGTAACTTCCTCTGGAGTTGTCTTATTTACTCAGCTGAACAACCCAGCTCCTCAGCACTTGTTAAACCACCTTGTTGTGCTGCAAGGCCTGGTTTCTTCCTGGCCTTTGTGTGTGATCAAAGTCACAGTATGTAGCAGGATTGGGTTTTGTTTAGGCCTGAGAAAACTAGCAAGTGATAATTCTTGTCTATTTAAGTTGGTTATTGGAAAAGACTAAAGCATCAAACAGGCCTCTGTCAGTTGGGTAAATTCTTGACATATAAAGGATAACAAAACAAATGATTATGTCAAGGGCTCTGGAAACATTTAATAATCCTGCAGTCCAGTCTGCCAGTCAGGAATGGCTCATTTAGATTTAAAAATATTTTGTAACTAGCAGCTTTATAACAGTGACCAGCCCTGGTTGTTTTTGTCTACACTTCTCTATTTAATTCCTTTTTTCCCCACCCCTCAGTGTCTCCATGCTATTTATTAATCATGCCCCATCATCCTGGTCTGCTGAGAAAGAAACTCACTGATTTAACTTGCTCAAATACATTTTCTACTTCTGCCAGACTTTCAGCAAATCAAGTAGTTCTGGAGCATGTGAACAAAGATGACCTTGACTACGCATGCTGCTCAGCTAGGTTAATGCTGCTGTCACTGTACAAGTCAGTCCTATAAAACTGAGCAGAATAACTACAGGTATTATGAACAGCAGCAGAATCTAAGTGAAATAAAGAAAAAACAAAATGTCAGAATTCAGCTGTGGCTCTACAATATCTTCATATCAATCCAGTGTTTAAACTACAGAATGGACTGAATCTTCTGTATTTCCCTAAAGCCAAGATGCATGCTATTGTATCACTATTGTAGGTAGGCAAAACATTGTCAGTGAGGAGACTGCTACAACCTCTGAGCACATGTACTACATAAGGTTGCAACAGAAAAGGGCTAAGTCTCTCAGATCCACTGAATTCACATTTGTAATGTCATCAGCTAGTGCAACCATCTATGGTGGCCTGGTCAATAAATGGCAATGGTAGTTAAACATTTTTCCATCTTTCTCCAAAAAGAAACTTCATATAACTAGTGCTGGCCACTGTCACAGACAGACAATTGTATTCAAATGTTTTCACTTGACAAAGAAAAATTATACCTTCTCAACACATTTCTGTGAAATTGAAACATGAAGAATGATTTAATGGGACCTGAGGCCATTAGGGAGGGAGAAACACAGTTCTTGAATAATCAAAAGTCAAGTGGCTCAGGGTTTTGCTTGACATTAATTGATAACCTTGATCCAACTGAAGCAGTGAGCAAGGAATTCAAACCCTTTCTAATTGCAGGCTGACTCAGAAACTTAACTGATGCCCTTTACTGTTTCCAGTGCCTGAAACCAGGTGAATACTGTGCTTGAATAGAAATTCTGACAAAAAATGCTGGATTTACCATGAAATTAACATAAAGGAGGATAATAAGCACAGGGAAAATGAAGGTCTATGTTATAAAATAATTTTTTTAGATGCAAAATATTAACTGAGGCAAAATGCTGTTGACTGCAGGACAGCTTCAGGCAAACAGGGCAGAGAGGCTTTCCGTAGGCTTACAGCCAGCCCATTGCAGTACAGAGTTACATAAAAGCTCTGCAAGAGTGGTGCATGTGTGATCTCTCTGCTCAAAGCACTGCAAAAATTAGTGGTGAAGTCATGACCTACAAACAAAAGCAGCTTCAAGAGCTTCATTAATAATCCATGCATCAGCAATATATATCCTGGGGTGATCCTCATGGGTCTGAGGAAGAAGACAGACTTCTGGAGTTGCCATGTCTTCCAATTTTCCATCCAGCCATTAGACACCAAAGTCCCATCAGAACAAGCCTCAGAGTGGAATGGCAGCTTTTCCTCCCAAGAACTGGGGCCAGAGAACTCCTAACATAAGCTGAGACTTCCCTGTTCATCTTGCTACTGCCTACCTAGCAGAAGCAAGGTTATCAGGTATGCCCATAATGTCCCTAACCTGCAATCGGGTATATCCATAATTCATCTCTGTTCTCTCACACACATTCTCTCTCTATGCTCTCTTTGAAACCTGCTGAACAAATTTGACAGGAGTGTCACAATTACATTCTGTAAGATTCATAAAAATTGGCAGCCAGAAGGCCTTTGAAAGTGCCTCTCATAAATACCCTAAGAAGATGGCTGCAACACAAACCATACACTATCAAGTACCCAAGGAATCCAGACAAGAAGGCAGGGATAGGGGAGGTTGGAACTAGATGATCTTTAAGGTCCCTTCCAACCTAAACCATTCTATGATTCTATGAAGAAAGTCTTTCAAAACGTATCAAATGGAAAAACAAAAAAATCAGCTGAAACTTACAGATATTTATGAAACAGAAATATGTAAGAAAGGAGGCTTCTACTATCACAAAATTTCTTGATTTCTAGCTCAAAATTTCATTGAACATTGTGGCTGTGGAAACAAATCCCTGTCTGAAACCTAAGATATCATCTGATACTAAGAAGATAATGAGTTAGCAGCAATTTCTTGGAATGCCTTTTCTTTCCACATAGTCAGAGTTCTGTTATAAATACTATGGCTGAGCCTCTGTTACTTACCCAGAAGACTATCTTTTTCACTTAATGAATCGTCTCTTTCACGCTGTCCAGGCAAACACTGAATTTGATTAGAAGCTACAGGATGTGAGAATGAATCTGTAGTTTTCATTAATTCACTTCCTTTTGCTAATGTAAACCAATCCTTTGTCTGAGAAACTGTAGCCTAGGAAAAGAAATGTCATAGAACAATTCAAATTTTTCTGTTTATTGCATTGTTTCTGAGAGCAGAGCTTATGGTCTGTAGTCATTTTGTGCAGTCTGTGTATATTTCTGTAACGATAATTCCCAGTGAAGAGAGCTGTATGAGGGTAGCTGAGCATACTTCTAACACAGCTTGTGTTTTAGCTATATTACAAACCAACAACCTTCATCTGCAGTACAAAGAGCTTTGAAAATGAGGGATATGCAGAGAATCAGATGTCCAATAATGTTGTGACCTCAGTTACAATAATTTCACCCAATGCATTCAATATATCTTGATGTTACAGCCACTAAACATTTTTATTTTACCTCTCCAAGCGATATATTTAACTTTCTCATAGTCGTTGAAGTGTCATCCTCCTCAGGAGGGGGAGGACTGGGGTCTTGCTTCCTTATCCAGGGGTAATAGCCATTATCAATAATGAAATTAATGCCGGTCTTGCTCCATTCTACCTGTGATATCAATTTAGCTAGCCTGAAATTAAATGGTGAGACAATAAAATAGCTAATTTTAGCTTTTAATCACAGAAAAAGTTGAAGTTTTTTCCCCAGAATAGGCAATAAAACCCATGACCAATCTAAAAATAAGTTGTTACAGAGAAGGTCATGATCAGCAGATCATATTATCGATCATATTATCGATCATATTATTTCACAGATCACATTATTTCACATATCATATTATTTCACCCTTAGTATGTCATATTCATAAACACCAGTACTGCCATTCCATAGTCCACCAGCTTTACAGATGGTGACCTTCCTTGCATTATCAGTCTTTATCAGTAAAACCAATTTCTGTCAGGATGCTCTTACATGTATCTATGCAGTTCCAAGCCCTGCCAAGAAGCCCTGAAATATTTTGATCATTAAAATGGAACTATTGTTCCAGATTGCAGAAGTCTGGTATCATCACCAGACACTACACTTTCTGATACAAACAATCTTCCAGCAGTGATGCCACAGCAGTGATCATATTAATTAAACTTTCAGATGATAACTGACAACTGGCGCTATTGTGTTCAACTGGCAGATGTCTGAGGACATCATAGGACTGAAGAGCTCTCTGGTGCTGTCTTGTGTTAGTGTGAACATCAGGATGTTCAAAAAAGGCAATCTTAGAACCATACATTGATAATGTCGGTGTTCCAGGCTCAAGAACTGGGGCAAAACTTAGCTAAGTTAGAAAGCAGTACAAAACCAACCAAGGTGCATGTGAAGGGAAAACAAAGCCTATGCCTGAGCCTATGCCCATGAGTGAATGCCCAGTTTCATTTGTCCTCACTATTTGAAGGAAAATAGGATTTCATTCTAGGGTTGGGGTATCTTCATCTATAAACGCAAGTTTCCCTTTTAGCATCTCAGCTTATCTTGATCTAGACAGAACCTTGAGGGATGTAGAGGCAGATCCTCAAAAAAGCATACATAAAGAACATCTGCTGAAAGGACATCTGGAAAAATATAGCAGGTGTATAACAGTGCATCATCCAACTATGCCACAGCATCCCACAGAGAACCTTGCAAAAGGAAGTCTGACAGTGGGTCCCACAGACGCAAAGCTAGTAATTGAAATTAAAAGGACTGGCTGATTTTTTTCTAAATAGATTTCATGGATTCATAACTTCCACTTATATGGCTTATATATTGATCAGAGAAAGATGCATTACTACCATGATATCCTGTGGAATGCAGATTCAGAAATCAGTAATTCATGGTCAAGGAAAATTACAAACTGCTGAATGAAAAAAAAGGCTCTGATTTTACTTTATCAAGGTCACTAAAATTAAACAGACCTAGAGCTGGAAGAAAATATATTAAGAGTACCGTCAAGATAAATTAAACAGAAAACTACACAAATTTAAAACTGAAAGCATAAAAGATTGTAATACCTGTATTCAAAGTAACAGTCGCTTTCAAGAAATGCTGGAAGCCTTTCTTTCTTAATCCACTGAATTGCTTGTTCTCGATCAAGGCACTATTAAAAAAGAAACACCAAAGATTTGTAGTTTTCTTGACTTTCTTGCTTTGTTTGCCATGTAACTGATTCTCTCCAATCCCCTTCTACAGAGGCATTGTCTCAGGAAAACAAATATGCAGTGGACGTTATCACTGTTATAGAATCATAGAATAGTTAGGGTTGGAAAGGAGCTTAAGGTCATCTAGTCCCAAGCCCTCTGTCATGGGCAGGGACACCTTACACTAAACCATGCCACCCAAGGCTCTGTCCAACCTGGCCTTGAACACCGCCAGAGATGGAGCATTCACAACTTCCCTGGGTGACCCGTTCCAGTGCCTCACCACCCTCACAGTAAAGAATTTCTTCCTTATATCCAATTTGAACTTCTCCTGTTTAAGTTTTAACCTGTTACCCCTTGTCCTGTCACTACAGTCCCTAAATTATTTTATGAATCAGGCTGGTAACAGATTTCTGCTTAGGCAGTCCAAGCATCAGTGCCTCATCAATGCAGAAAGGGAGGTGCCTTCGAAGAGTGGTCTGAGGTGTGACAGGGATGTGTTGAACAGCGAGCAATACAGAGCCAGCTAACAAAAACGATGCCTAAGAACTTACACAGAGAGCAAGATCTCTGACTATGGGCCACAGTGATCCATGGCTGTTTCCCTTAGAAATGACAGACAGCACACTTCAATATTTTTTTTTAAGAGTGTACTTTTTGCATTCTTAGGGGGTGAGCTGTTTTATTTATCTGAGGTGCATTTTTCCTTCTAGTGGTAGTGAGACTGATGGTTTGGAAGAATGCAGTAACTCTTCTTGTCCATAAAAACAGGTGAAGCTGGGGTAAAGACGGATGCTACTTGCTATATCAAATAATGAGTTGTGTAGATTACATTTTAAATTTTATTTCCATGAGCTAATATTCCATTAGGTACAAGGGTTATTCTGCCTCATATATATCTGCAGGGGATTAAAAAAAATCTGAATTACTCAGAAAGTGGGTGGTTTCCTTTACAGAGAAGAAAATATTTCAAAATATGGAAAGCTTATGTTGGCAATGGCTCATACACTGTAATTTGTGGAGATGGAGACTAATTAGTCCCATTAGTGTATGCCTCTTTCTGGTAACTGACAAGCTTTTTTGAAATACAGAAGACTGTCTCTTTATTTTGGCATTTTATATTTATGTATTTACTGAGTAACAGCCCAGTTTTTTATCTTAGTGATTCATAACATGTTCGCATCTGTACATGGCTGGTACACAAAATTATATATACTATCAGAACGAAAGAATCTCTACTCTTTCCCCTTCCCCCAGAGAAAGATGCTACATTTAATCTGATGAGTTTTGTTACCTTGGTTAGCTTCCTTACTCAGTCAGCCTTAGGCCTTGCTGGGACTCAATCCAGCAAAGCTTTTAGCACGTGTTTAAGTTTAAGCATGTGTTTAACTTCCCTTGATTAAAGTTAAACACATACTTAAGTGTTTTGCTGAACTGGGGTTTCTCTGAAGTAAGGTATGTGGGATGCCAGCCAGGTTTTTTCCATAGTTGTGATCAATTCTACCCAGCTCAGCAGGTTTATTTTCGTAATGTATTTTACACCAGATTGATTTTGGCTGTTGATAAGAAGGTATTTACCTCCGTATCAATAATTTGCAAGTGTGCATGCACATGTGCAGAGAACTTTTGCTTATCTGTAAATTTGTAACAGTCTAAGAGGGAAGTAAAATACAGAGAAAAATACCTGTAGGTGTATTTCTTAGGTAAGATTTGTTTAAATTCAAGCTGTAGCCTAAAACGCCTACTAGGACTCTCCAACCACAGCTCATTTTCGTTAGAAATGCCCCAGTGATGGCCTCTTGCTACTTTTTGTAGCAATGTAACATTCAAAGCAACTGTTAGTCTCTTCAGTCAGCGTGAAGAAAGTCAAAGGAAACAGGCTAGCATCAGCTAATGCCTGAAAGACCAAATCCTATTTGAGTTGAACTGAGCTACTTGATACAGTTGGTCTGGGATGACTTCTTCTGGTTCAGTCACAGTGTAGCACAATGAATGAAGCTGGCTTCTTTCACCTTGTGTGGCTGCAGTAACAATTTTTGGTATGCTGGTTTGCAGGCCCTTTTGTTCCAGCTCAGCTTTGAGATGCCAGGGCGTTATAAACTGGGTGAGGAATGTATGTTACCTACCCAGTGAAGAAGGAGCCAAAAATAAGAAAAAACCTCACCCTTTTCTCCCAAGAAGAAAGCATACTGAGGCATATCACTCCATGAAAGACCATCATCTATGGAAAATGGCCCAGAGAAAGCAATGTATTCTTAAATAATACGGGAGCTGTGTTTCTCCAAACCACATGAAAGTAAGCAATAGTGAAATGGCTTTGAATTTGTCAAGAAAGGCCATCCACAGTTGCAGTGATGTAAGGTTATCCCACAGAGTGTTAACCACACTTGCACAGGCACACAATGTTTCCTCAGTTTAATCCTGAGAGCAAGTAAGAAATCAAGAATAGTTCTTCCAGTTTTGTGCTCTCAAGCAAAATATTTGTGAAAATAATTAAGCTTATACTAGGCAAAATAGCAGTTTGCTACAACTCCTTGCTTTTCTCTCAGCTTTCCAGCTATGACATAATTTAGAGCAGCCACTTCTAAAAATACAGCAAGACCTTAGCCTGGCCTTGAATGAAGCAAACTGAAGTCACACCAATGCAAAGTAAGCAAGAAAAGCATAAACCAAGTATCCCAGTGAAATGCTTTTCTCCTCAAAAGCTATTGCTTAAAGGTAAAGTCCCACAACTAATTATACCATCTCGTATTCTTTCAGGTGCATATGATGCTTCAGCTCCTGATTTTTACCTGAATAATTTGGTGCTGAAGCCCTGAAAGTAAACAGGTAAGAATACCAAAATCGATAATGTCTGAGCAAGTCAAAAACAAGATTATTTTTCTAAAATCCAACCTATCTTTCCATTAATTTTGCTTTCTTTTTGCCAAATATTATTTTCTCTGGCCATTTCAATAGATGGTAACCATGTAAATCCTTTGGGAATTAATAGAAGACTTATGTGTTGCCAGACCACAGATGAGCTCATATCCACACAAGGAAATTAATTAATAAGGAAAGACTGAGATGCATTAGTTTCAGTCAATTTGCACATTCCAGGGATCACTAGTAAAGTAACTGTTGTCATAATATTTTTTCTTTTAATATTAAAAAGTATTCAGACCACACAACTGAATCCTGCCCCACGGAATCTTCAAATTTCTGTGCTACAGGATGTACATCTGTAATTCCATTCACTTGTCTGCTAGACACATGTGCATTGCAGGGCATAATTTGGCCCATCATTATGTTTTCCTAACATAAATTAACATTTTTCCCAAGCTACCAAGCCAAACACAACAAAAACTACTGCCAGTATCTCTACAGTAAGATCTAAATATAAACTCAGGGGCTATAAGATGCTTACCATAGTGTTGTAATTTGCATCAATATTGAAGTTTGGAGAAGCACTGCGCATTTTGGAGAGGTGCCCATCATTCTTTACTTTCCTTAGAGCATCATAAATGGGCTTTGGAGATTTCTGCTCATGTAGACTTTTTTTCAGCTGGTTTTCAAGGCATTGTGGGGCATCATTAACAACTTCAAAAACCCCAAAGTCAGAGTTAAACTTAACTGGCTGGGCAAATGTCTGCAAAAAAATATTTGGAAAGTTTATTACATTGTAATAAGGGAACTTTTTAATGTAAGAAAGTTACTTTTTATAGTATGGGAGCATCCTACAGGATGCAACCTGGTATTATGAGGTTTCCTTCTCTTGCCCACAGCAGCTTATGTTTGGGGCCTGGATAATAATTTTCTGTATTCTTGTTCTTTAGTCTCTTTGCTGTGTAGTTTTCCAATGCATTCCTACTTTTTATCTCAGCTACACTTAATTATGAAGAATTTTAATTCATTCTAGATCACAGACCATTCTTTTTCATATGCAAATAATAGGTCCAGTACACAGATGTCTGGAATATATCATTCACAGTGACTTTAGTAACTGTTCAGCAGGGGGCTACTTACCTACAGGATGAGGTCTCCAGTGCTATTCTCCTATTCATTACCACAAACAATCAAGGCTTGAAAAGATTAGCAATGAAGCAGACCTTTTAAATGAGATGCATTTGAAGAGGATGAAACTGAAAATTTCCATATGTAAGAATGGTTTGTCACCATATTGTTAGTTTTAGGTTAAATACCTACCAGAACTTGTAAGTTCTGTACCAGAACTTTTAAGGCTTGTAGTAAGTTATTATACATCACCAGTTCAGATCGTGTCTGACACATGAGGTAGACCAAACTTCAACTTCTGCTATATAACTGTGACTTCTGTCAACTCAAAAAAAAAAAAACAAAACAAAAAACAAACAAACAAAAAAAAAAACCACAACACACTACTGCATGTGCACACATTAAAACAGAGCCATCTTTCATCTTTTGAGCTCTGGTATTAGGTATTTCCCCGAAAGACCATCTTTCAAATGCTCTTCCTTGAAATTAAGAGGGAAAATATGGATGGATTTTACAAGTAATGGAGGATACCCAAGACAGTTGTGAATATGAGATGATATACAAGCAGAGCATATAAGCGTCTCCACACAGAGCTAGAAAAGAAGGCATGTCGTATTTAAGAACTGAAGAAAATCCTGGCCATATCCAGACCCTGTGCCAAAATTCTTTTTGGCTTCATTCCAGACAGGATCCCACCTGATGTTTGTACAGTTGTCGTTCGCCTACACTTAATAAGATTATTTTATTTTTTCAAGCACTGTGGTTTTCATTTCCTTGAACTTTTTATATATCACATGTATAAAAACATAGACATAATTCATATACATACTATAGATGCTGAATACATGCTACATATAACATAGAAATATATTACAGATAATTTTCTTCTCCATACCTATAGAAGTCCAAAGTAACCGTGCCAGTGTCAGCTATTTTGTTGCTTCTGTTTGAAACCCCCTTATTGATCAGTCTTGTAGAGTAATGCCCACGATCGAACCATGTGGCTGCAACATGTGGTTACAACATTCCCTACTTATCCCATAATGTTTCACTGTGGAGGCTCAGCCTGGCGAAACATGTAGCATGTGAGAGCTTTAAGTGTATGGTTAGTGCCTATGACATCAGACTGTCACTGCTCTGAATCATGCATTGAATTGCATTGGTCTGTTTAGTTACCTAACTTCAGCTGAAATCGTGGCTTGGGTTTTGTTCTCTGACACCTTTTGCCTCTTTTAGCATTAATTTTCTCCAGGGTACTCTACAGGTTTTAGTGGGTTTTCTCCAGATGTACTGAACAGCATTTTAAAGAGCCTTTTATGTGTAGTAGATTTCTCTGTACTTCGTTCAGACCTCCTCCCAGTTTGCTATGTGTATATTTCATTTACTTTCAAACCTAATTTGGGCTGCTAACAACATTCATGTGACTAACTGTGCAACCCTAATAACCTCCAAATGTATTCTTCCCTATTTATTTTTTCATGTTTTTTAAAAAAGAAACAGATTTACACTAAGAAACAAGGTGCATCAGTCTTTCAGGATTTGAAAATCTCTTGCTTGTGGAAAAAAAGCAAACAAAGTACAAATTCCATAATACAGGGCTATGTGACTAGATGTGATCAGATTTAGTTTCATGTTGTTTAACTTTGAAAACTAAGCAACAACATTAGTTTATCACACACATCTATTTTTACTTAATCCTTCATAACTTACTCTAGATCTCATTTTTTCAGCATACATTCTAATTACCTAAACAGAAAACACACAACAACTTAAATGTAGTGAAACAGATGCAAGCAACAATTTTTCAAATGTAAAGTGTGTTGCTGTTTTAGGAGTCTGACTACAAATCCTTTGTAAGACAAACACACTAGCGGAACAAAGAACATACACTGATAGGATAAGAAGATTAAGACTTCATACACTACATACTTGACTGAAAAAGGTGGCTCTTGTCCAGACTTTTGGGGTTAGGATGAAGGTTTAGTTACCTATACCTAAGAAGATCAAAGAGGCATTGCATACTTCTTGTATCAGTGAGAAAGTAGCCAGTAGATCCTCTTTACTTGACACTAATAAGTCTGCATTTGGAATACGGCATTCAGTTTTGGGTTCCCAGTATAGGAAGAATGTTCACATATTCAAGTAAGTCCAGCAGAAGACCATCGAGCTGGTCAGAGGCTGGAGCACTTTCCCTGTGAGGACAAGCTGAGGGAAGAGGGCTTATTTAGCCTGTAGAAGAGGCAGCTCTAGAAGGACCTAGCAACAATCTAAATACTTACAAGATTACTGAGAAAGTAGACCAGGCTTTTCATGGAGGTGCATGGTGAGAGGACAAGAGTCTGTGGTCCTACACTGAAATAGAGATCTCAACTGGATATAAGAAAAAAGGTATTTGAAACATGCTGTCCAGAGAGACTATGAAATCAGTTGTTGGAGGTTTTCAAAATCAAGAGAAAGTACCAAGCAGCATGGTTTCAGTACTAAAGGGCTGTCTCTGCTTTGAGCAGGAAGCTGGACTACAGACCTCCCCAAAGCCCCTTCCAGCCTGAGTGACCTATGATTCTGTACAGATACCAAATTCTACCAGAGAGATCATCTCATAAAGTGATCATATAAAAGCATTTTAGAATAGTTTGGAATAGTTTGCTTACTTAGGAAAACTAGAATGATAAACCAGAATGTCTTTATAAGCATAATAAAAGAAGAGGTAAGTCCTGACCTCCTTAACTCATCCCAGCCACAAAAATAAAATGATAATGTTAAGAGAAAAAAACTCAAATGGGAACAGAAAAAAAAAAAAAAGTGTGATTTCTTGTAGATAGCATTTTCCCAGTTACAGTACAGGAGAGAGGATCAGTCAATCCATTTCCCTTATGGTATGTGAAGAACTTTGGAGCAAAACACACGATCTAACCATTCCAACACATTACAAGCCACAAAAAAAAAAAAAAAAAAAAAAAAACCAAAAAAACCTGTTCAATACCCTGTAGTGAACTTAAAACCTTTTCCACAGAAGCCAAGACCTGTAAAATCATACAATGTTTCACAGGACAGTAATGAGAGAGATTTATAGCACCAGCAATATTCTAGGTCATTGCAATAATGATGAATCTCTTCAGTGAAGATGCCTGTATCAATGAGTGGGTGATAACCTACACTAGGAAGGAAGGGGAAAAAGTCATCCGTGCCAATCTAATATACTAAGAAATATCTTTCTTACCCCACATTTGGCAAGTGCTTTGGCTTTTTACAGACAAGTAAAATACACTAAGGAAAGACTAAGTGTATCATTCTCTCTCTAGTTTGGGCCAATTTTTGATCCTTTGAAGATGGAAAGGGAAAACTCCAGAGACAAATTATACCTCAAGATGTTAAGAAAAAATAAATATGGTTTGGCAGGAGGCTTGAAGCTTGGGATTCATACATTATCAATTTAACACAATAAATAGGATCAACAAGGACTTGAGAATACCAACAAATAAGAAGTCTGCTGATTTTGCAAACTGTTTCACTCAGAAAATTCTCCCCTTGAACTCAGTACGAACAATGTAACTCAGTTTGGTAACCTCAGCTTCAGAAAAAATCTTTAAGCAAACAACAAAAAGCTGTTTTCGTATTGTAGTACAGCAATACTATTAAAGAAATAAACCATTGCATATACATTATTTACAACAAAGAAATTTAACTGTCAAATGCACATTGAATATGGTTTCAGCTGAAGAATAAATAGAATATATAATTCTGAAACCTGAAGTTATACACTTAACTGAAAGGAAAGCAAATTTCTCTCAGTCCTCCCAAAACAGAAACCAAAACAGCATCCATCACCATGTTACCAGGATGTCAGGCGTATAAATCTCACTGTTCTCTGCTTTAACAGTTTTCAGCTATACTTAACTTCAGATACAGTTAAGAAAGTGTAAATACGTTCACTACATCCCACCCCAAATAATGTAGTTAGATCCCAGGAGAAATAGAATGACCACAGCTTGGCTGCCTCTTAGGTTAAGACCTTGAAAGGGTGGGAATTAATAAAGACCTCATCCAGGAGCTTTGCCAAAACTTCCTTAAGACAGGTATGTTTGTATCATAATTAAATGTCAGTAAGAGTCCAGACCAGGAGAGAATTTGAGCAGCTCTATGAAGTATCTGGAAAATTCACACTGCAAATGGTCAGTGGCAAATCTCCCATTGACTTTAATGAGTCCAGGATTTCCTTTCCATTGATGAGTAAGACACAGGTCACAATTACATATCACAATCTAATTAACATTTTGAATAAACCCACTATCAACAAGTAAAGGAAAAAAAGTAAAACATGCTTCTTTTGCTTCCTTGAATGTCAAAGATATCAAACAAGTTCTAGTCCTGAGTCTCAACATAATATGCATGTGGGGCCTTATTTATGTAAAGCCTTTTTAAGGGAGGTTGTATTGGCACCTGCAGCCTCCCTCCACCCACCTGGAAAAGACAAGAGGAAATTAATGAGCGTGCACTGATGTTTTGAATTGATGCATTGATGCATCGAATTAGTCACAACCATCTTCAAAACAGAGAAGGCCTGGAAATATACAGCACAGTGGATTGCTTTTTGCTTTCTGCCCTTTCCATCTTTTGCTACTTTGTAGATCAGGGCTGTTTCTGCTCTTGAGAGCACTAAGTTTTTGGGACCATTCTGTTTTCCGAAAGACCAATTAACTCAAACTTTATTACTTGGGCCTTAATTGTTTTCAGAATCATCACCTGCACCAAATCCTGGTCCTGATTACTCAGCAGAGAGCTTTTATAGTGAGAACAATTTCAAAAGAAGTAGTCTTCAAATCTGAAGCTGATGAAACTGTGATCACTTGGTAGCTTTCTGCTGCAAGCAAAACCCACAGCCATGGTTTGCCACCAAAAGTGTCATCTCCTGAATATGCTTCAACTGAGGTACAGTTAGCACTTTTGTTGCTAGTGCAACTCCCTGAGTTTGCAAAGAGGAGGAGTGTGTCTTCACCAGGATCAGTGGTAACTGGAAAATGAGGAGGTAAGGCCCCAGCAGGGACTTGGAGTAGAACAAGTAGCAGTCAGCTTGCAAAGTTCAGGATAAATAAGTTGACATCACTGCACATTCTTACTGAAGCCTCCAACACTGAGTTGGACGGCCATTCTTGACTTCTGAATTATCATTCCTGGCTTCTGAATTTTCATTCCTGGGTGAATGTATTAAAACTGGATGTTTTAGATCCGTGAATAAAATATTCAAATTGTAGGGATGCCTATCAGGCTAGAAATGGAAGTGTATCCTTGCCAATGTTTCTCTCAAATCTTTCATTTTAGATTAGTTACTAAGGAAGGTGTAACTAGTTTGTGTGTCACATAATTGGTTTCTGCTATTGTGAAGTCATTGTACTACTGGCAACAAGTGCCCTCATGAGGGTTTTTGTATTATTTTATCTTTCATAAGTATTTTCTGTACAAAGTATCCTTCATTAGAGTATATAGAGCTTTGGAGTACCTAGATATTCATGTCAGATTGTATTGAATATTATTATAACAACAGGATCACTTAAAGGATATACTGTAAATCAAAGCAAAAAAAAAAAACAACCACCCACCCAATCTGCTGCTGCTACAGCAAGTCCCCAGTAATACAATTTTCCATACACTACTGGTGCATTATAAATCAATGCAGAGGCAGTCCCTTAAAATAAGCATATGCTACCCCTGATTTCTGGTATCAAGTCACACAATATTTTCAGTTTAACTTGTTGCCTAACTACTAGCACACCTGGGTAATACTGTTCCCAGGCAACTGCATATAAATACAACAAGAATAAAGCAATGGGAATTTCAATGTGGTGTTTTAGTAGAAGCCTTTTGAGAAGGAACCTGGGAATATAAGGTATTCAAACTACAGAACTCAAGGCATTAATAGAACTTAATCCTGAAGAGGGTAAATCCTCAGGAAAAGGTCAAAGAAAATGAAAACATTTATGAGAACAGTACAGATAAAAGTAGCTAATAGAGCATGCTTTCATGAAGATATGTCAATATATAGAAAAGAGACCATGTGTCATCTTAGAAACCTAACAAGATTACCAGCATAAAACAGTGTTTACTCAAGAGTGTCTGTAAACTCTTTTCTGTGGGCTTCCAGAGCGGTCAGGAATGCCTGGACAATCACTGTGGTTCAGAGCTGCTGAGCTGCGCCAAGACTAGGGGCTGAGGAGCCCTCTGAGGCCAAGGAGAATTTTGGCCTCTAATAAACGTTCTGAGATCTGTGCACATCCAGGGAGACCCAGAAACTAAGCAAGCTGAACTTCTTACCCACTCCATCCTTTGTGATTTGGGGAAAACTTGAAGCATAGTTTCCAAATAAGCAGCAAAGGCATGGAGGATGGTATTCCTGTGCTAGGAACAATCTGGCACAAGGAAGGAGGCCTGGGTTTAAAAGCTATGTAGTTAGGCTTGGACTTAGACAGATATTCTAGAACAGCTGCAAGGGGGGGGGGAGGGGGGGTGGAAGAACAAAAACCAGCCCTTTCACACACATTTTCTTCCATCTGTGTCTCCCTAGCTTTGTAAAAATTATTCTTAGGAATCTTGCAATGTGGTGAAAGTATGAAAAGGCTGAGCTCCTCAGGGAAGTCAGTATCACTGCTGTGCACAAAACCCACATTCTGATACAGAGTTAATACCTCCAGATTTTATTTTAAGGTAAAAAATAGGTATGTAGAGTCCATTCTGCCATCCTTAGTTCTGCAAATCTCATTATGTGTACTTTTACACAAATCTGTCATGTGGCTTAGAGAGCACATCTGTGTCTAGTTCAGTTTGGTAAGCCTGAATCGTAACAATTTATTCTAATGGTGGCTACACCGTAGTCTTAAATTCAAGGAGCATCAAAAAATGTACTGCCCCTTTCTAATGCTGGTGGTGGTTCCTACCAAGCAAATTGCAGAAGTAGGTGTTTGTTTTCACAGTACAGGCTGTTGGACTGCAGTGCTTTGGGAGGGGACAGGCCATGGGACAGCTCTGTCACAGATTAGACCCCACAGGAGCCATGAGTTACGCTGTGGAAAGGTCTGTGCCACTTTGAAGGAGAATAGGGATGTGAGGTATGGAGATGGAGAGAATGGGAATAATCAGGGCCAAGACTATTAAAATGAAGTTTTTTCATTTCCTGTCTATATTATTTTAGTGCGCCGTGATTTAAATATGTTAACTTGCAAGACAGTATCTGTCCCCAGAAGTGCAGATACTGTGTTATTTTTCTTGACACTGATAATAACATTAAACAATAAGAGTTGCTACCATTAAAACACAGATTTATTGTATAAGTCATTTAACTACCCAGTAGAAAAGTGCAAAATATTCTAAGCTGGATTAATCTTAGTAAGGTGTTTCTTATGTTTTGCAAGGGATTTCTGTAAGGTACTTACCGGAAGACTCAAAAATTCATTAAAGTATTCCACAAGCATATCATCTGTGGCTAAGAATTCCTCCTACAGAGAAATAAAACCACAAAGCAAAGCTTGTACTAACGTGCACTAACATGGTTTGAATGCACTATTGCCTCAATGTTTTTTCCATGAGATATGACATGGAAACTTTTGCAAAATGTTGTTTCCCACTTTTGAGAATATAATCATTGCATTGTTGTTATATTCCAGCCATTGCACACTGCTGAGGCCCTTAGCAATTTAAAAAACACACATGAAAGTAAATCCTTTGCCAAGAAATTTACAGATAAAGCCTTCATAAACCCAACAGCTTCTAAGTGCTGGAAATCTGCTCATTTACATTTGAAAAAATGTGCATTAAGCTAAGAGTCTAGAAATTACCAATATTAAACCTTTCTCTCTTGCATCTGGGAAGAAGAGGAGTCTAAACATTCACTAGAACCTGCTTCTGCTTCCACACTGCTGCTTGGAGATGTTTTGGCAGATGTTTGGAAATAAAAGGGAGGTCACTGATCTATAATTTGGCTCACCAAGCAAGCAGTGTATGTCATCTCTTTGACAGAACTGGGATGTTTCCTGTTGACCTCATCAGAAGTAAAGAATACATCTGCATGTGGGTTTTGTACCTGTTCTGACCCCTGCATTATAAATCCTGCTAATCAGAGTAAAAAACTGCACAGTAGAAATCAATGTTTTTTGCTGCTGACAAATCACGAAGCCCCCATTTCCATTCAATGGAAGACAAAAGTAGAACATTATTTCATTGGTCTTCAGAAATCAGTCTTCAATATAATGAAGACTCCTAAATGTTTGTAACAGTTTCAGATTCTTGAATATTCTATTATTTCTGTCTTGCAACACAAGGAGAATTCACCTAGATCAAATGTATTTACCAATATCAGCAAAGGTCTTGTGACACAAATCCTTTTTCTCTGTAAGTTAAAAGTGTTTGTCTGGCCTTAGTCTGACAACATTTATTCCTTGGCATTTGTGATTGCTGCTAGGAGTGATACAGGACAGGCAAGCTAGCTCACGCTTATTCCTGGAAGATACTGACAACACTGAAAGCAATGCTTTCTGCATTACAGAGATGGTGGGGTTTTTGGGTCACAGGACCATGGTCCAATGCACTTGCAGTACCGTGGACCTAAAGATGTTAGGGCATTGATTAAACAGGAGAATTTACCAAAGTGTCTAACCCAAAGCATTTTGAAGTCAACAGAAAACCCTCTCCCTAATGTCACTAGGCAATCAATCAGACCCAGAAATCTCAATTCAGCAAGTGTTAACATAATTAATAATAACAACAGCAAAAAAAAAAAAAAAATCTAAACAAGCTTCAGTGTGCCTCATGTTTGATTTGGGCAATGCACAATTAGATTTGACACTGATAATTGATAAGCATCAATCTGAAGACAGACAGATATGATAATACCTCATGAAAATATCATTTCAAAAGACTTACTCAAAGCAACTCATTTATTACTGGCTGAAGTATAAGCTCCTTAAGAATATACAGGTAACATGTGTTTTTAATTTGCTAAGGATATAATTCTCCACAGTCCCATATAACAGCAAGAAATGTAAACACAGTGGTTGATTAATCAATAAAATGTTTATGATCTTTTTAAAGCAAGCTTTGCTACTTACTGATCTTACTGCATCTATGCACAATACACTGTCCTCTGGTGCTTGAAGGGTTTTTTTGTCATCGGTCTCATTTTCATTTGGAAGCATAGTTGCACTTACATATTCACACGTTCTATGTTATCAAGTCCAACCATTAACCTAGCACTATCAAGTTCACCACTAAACCATGTTGTTAAGTGCCACGTCCACACTTCTTCTAAATACCTCCACGGATGGTGACTCCTTCTGAAGGTATTTACCACTACAAATAAGTAAGTATGGAGTACTGAGTAATTTCATAGTATTTTCTCAGACAAAAAAAAAAAAAAAAGTTTTAAAGACTAACTTTATTCTTGGGGAGGGGGTATTGTTTTTATTCTGAATACTTAGTTTATTCTTTATTTACCACTTCCCTGGGCAGCCTGTTTCAATGCTTTACAGCCCTTTCTGTGAAGAAATTTTTCGTAATACCCAATCTAAACCTCCCCTGATGCAACTTGAGGCCATTTCCTCTCATCCATTGCTTGTGTCACTTCAAATAAGGTAAAACAATAGAGTAACAAATAAGGTAAAAAAGGCAAACAACAGAGAAATTCTACAATGAGCTATGAGCAAAGAGCAGAAAAGATAAATAAGATTGTTAAACCTGTTATGTCAAAGATTCCAGCTCATGATTTCATTCCTTCATCATATTTCACTTTCTTTTTCATTTCCATCCTTCTTCTCCATAGTTTCCTGTTACTTTTTACTTTCTAATTATTTTCAAACTAAGTATTTTTTTTTTTGTCTGAGAAAAATACCAAGAAATCACTCAGTACTCCATACTTAGAGGAAAGAACTGAGAAATCAGGCAACAGTTTCCAAAAATGTGTTTTGCTTTTTGTGTTCTACAGTTGCATAACAAAATGAATCATCAAGCTTTATAAAGCATACTTACAAACACTTCTTCTGTTATACATGGAGGCTCTGAAATACAAAAATGAAGTATCATGTTATTCAAGTAATACAGTCAAGCTTGTTCAACTATGATTACTGAACAGAAACAAAAAGTAGTGAGGCATGACAACCTTCCTGGATATTTTTAAATAAAATAACTTAGCCTGAGGAAATAAAATAAACTCTAAGAACATGCAGTAATGTTGACCCATGTATAAAAAGGATAAAAGTATTAAATAAAAAATCTACCACAAGAATGATTTAAATATAATTCAAGTATCATTTAACTTGATTATTTCTCATACATATCAGTTAACTTCTTGTCAGCTTTGTTCTGCAAAATTGATTACTAGAATCTTGCTGGTTTTAATGAAAATATAGATTTCTATGACACTGTGGGAGCCTCTAAGAGCAAATATTATGAATCATATGATAAAATTTATAAAAATGTGGTTGGTGTTCCCAGATATCAAAATCCCACTCATTCTAGAAGGGTATTCTGCTTTCCGTGATTACATCTGAAGGGAATAAAGTTCTGTTTTGAGATTAAGGAATTTTACTGAATTTCAACCTAGCAGTTCAAAATCCCCTCATTTTGTATCATCATCTCCGTACCTAAGGCAATCACCCTAGGGTCAGACCCTCTGTCTGACGTAGTTTCAGTCCATCCCCCTGCCTGGGAAGCACTACATACCAGTGGTTAGCCTCTTCGACTGCATCCTGGATCTACACACGTAAGGGCCAGCACCCACACCTACAAGATTACAATCTCATTTGCAAAGGCGAAATCCTTGACTGCAGACCAGAAATAGAAGCTGCAGAGTTCCTGGACCTGGCTGGTGAGTGCTGGTCTGCACCAGGGCAGCCTGCCTCTGCTGCATGTCTCCCAGCAAAGTGGGGTTGCTATGACACTGTAAACAATGCATGGGGTGAGCTGAGCAGTAAGCAAATACTTCTCTTGCTGATGCAAATCTCCCTGAAGCAGACTTGGATATCAGGCATACTGATGATACGGTCCCAAAAGAGATGCCTGTGAACTAGTAATTTCAGGATGCTTGTAGCAAGAATAGAAATTAAATGCTCTTTTCTTGACTGACCTAGGCAGTTCTTAGTCCACAATGATATCTTCTCCTACATAACCAAAACTCTCCAGCCACATGGGATTTTGCCTTAAATCCCCAAACATATGACTAATGACCAATGAATTTACATCATGTATCAAATAATTCTGCATCCACACATATACAAACAGCCCAACAGTGATGTGCTAGAAACACAACCTGCAGCCTTGGTAACAGCCTTCTTTGCTTCCTCCTGCTGCCAGGGCCCAGAAATCCAAAGACAGCTACATGTTCCCACAATTAGGGAAAAGTTTATAATTAGGCCAGGAAGAAGGAGAAAAGACATTAAAAGACATAGAATAGTTAGTTTCTTTGTTGGCTTGAGAGGGTACTCCAGGATATAAAAAGTCACATTTCTGTTATGGTCAGCAAAAGCTAAATACGAAGAAGGAATTCAGGTTCCTATATGAGGATTTCAGTAGAATTTAGGTGTTCCACAAGTGGGATCTGAAAAACACCCTACCGAGCAAGTCTGTGATCCTAGAACTGAACAAATGCTTCAGGCTTTTTTTGCATGCAAGTTCCCTCAAAGATTCTGTTCTATTGCGATTATGAAATGTTTCAAATAGGTATACTTAATGTATATGAAAGAGGAATAGCATGACAAGATAGCCCATTGTCGTGGTTTAAACCCAGATGGCAATTCAACCATGCAGCCCTCGCTCACTCCCCTACCCTTTCCTCCCCCCACTCCCGGAGGGATGGGGAGGAGAATCAAAAGAATGTAACTCCCACGGGTTGAGATAAGAGCAGTCCAGTAACTAAGGTATAACACAAATCACTGCTGCTACCATCAATAATAATAATGATAAGGGAAATAACAAGGGAAGAGAATACAACTGATCACCACCCGCCAACCAATACCCAGCCCGACCGAGAAATGATCTGACCCTTCTAAGTAACTGCACCCAGTTTATATGTGGTATGGAATACCTCTTTGGCTAGTTTGGGTCAGGTGCCCTGTCTCTGCTTCTCCTCCTCCCTGGCAGATCATAAGACTCAGAAAGTCCTTGGTCAGACTAAACATTACTGAGCAACAACTAAAAACATCAGTGTTATCAGCGTTGTTCCCAGGCTGAAAGTCAAAACCACAGCACTGCACGAGCTACTAAGAAGAAAAATGACTTCTACTGATGAACCCAGGACACCCATAAAATGTGAAGTTAACCCTTTCCAACAGGTAGAATTGCACTGAACTGTACATGAGACTGCATTGTCTCATAACCAAACTATTTAATATGATTTCAAATGTTTAAGCTAAAGTTCATTGCACTTCTTTACCCCCTTCCCCTTTTTCTTTTTGATGCAGGTTTAAACATAGTCTTTGGTGTATAATATTACTAAACCTCCCTAGCTGCTTGTAATTTTTGAAAAAAAAAAAAAAAAAATAAAGACAACCCACAAAGAAACCTGGTGAATGCGTTCTTGGGTTTGGTTTTTTTGGTGGTTTTTTTTTTTTTTTTTAATCAGAAGTGGAAGCCACAATTCAGCTTAGATAAAATTCAAGTTTGGAAATGAGTCCATTAGGAAAAAAAGTCCTTTTTCTCTCCTGTCATCTGGTATATTTTGGTATAAAACTCTTATGGTTTTTGTTTTCTGTGTAGTGTGCTTCAAAGATTGCATTTTGGATTAAGCTCATCAGGAAATACTGTATTCTCTCATGAAGAATCTTATCAGTCATTATTTTCTCATTATCTTAGTTAACAACATAGATTTTAGTCAAGTAGTGGGGGTGTGTGCATTTCAGTCTTGATTTTATTTTGCAGTTAAAAGTTCACCAGCAGGTGAAGCAAAGATATGAATCATAGAATCATATAATAGCTAGGGTTGGAAAGGATCTTAAGATCATCTAGTTCCAAACCCCCTGCCATGGGCAGGGACACCTCACACTAAGCCGTGTCACACGAGGCTCTGTCCAACCTGGCCTTGAACACTGCAAGGGATGAAGCATTCACAGCTTCCCTGGGCAACCCGTTCCAGTGCCTCAGTACCCTCACAGTAAAGAAATTATTCCTTATATCTAATTTAAACTTCCCCTGTTTAAGTTTTTACCTATTAGCCCTTGTCCTGCCACTGCAGTCCCTGATTAAGCTGATTTACCCCCTTTTCCACATTTTTCTTTCCTTACTCTTATTTTCATTTTGATTACTATTTAACTTAGCAGAACTGCAGATCTACAGAATGTTTCATAAATACAGTAAAAGCCATGATCTATCCCAAAAAGCATCTGACCTTCTAGAAAAGATGAATGGCTAGGTGTGATAGAGAATTCTAGACAAGAGAAAGTAAAAAGAAATAGGTTTCAAATTATTAGCATAAGGCCAGTATAGAAAGAGATCTGCACAGGAAGACAAATGGGAGGAAAAGATAGATTGATTCTCTCCATTCCTGCTGACAACTCCCTCCTCTGCTCCTTACTAAAGAGCCATTTGTAAAAGTGGACTTTCAGTGAGGACTTTACGCTGTCACTGTCCCTTTTCTCCACATTTCTCAGAAATTTAGGCTTTCAGGAATTTACCAATTAAAGTATCACTCAGGGAAATCAGATCAAAACTGCTGGGACAACTTTGCACTCAGAGAAACAAGCATGTAAGCTATGCCAGATTGCTGGGTGAACAAGTCGCCTTGTGACTTGCTCAGTAAAGGCATAAATTGGATAGCTTTATTAAATCTAAATGTGCACTCGTGGTTTTAGGTGCTAATCTGTATTTGATACCTGGCAGTGGTCACAGTGAAGTTATGAGCATCCCCATAATTAATTACTCATTCAAAAAAGTAACAAATACAATACCTGAAAGGAGGTTGTAGCAAAGCGGGCATCGGGTTCTTCTCCAAGTAACAAGAAATAGGACAGGAGGAAATGGACTTAAGTTGCACCAAGGGGGGGTTAGATTGCATATTAGGAAAAATTTATTCACAAAAAGGGTTGTCAGGCATTGGAACAGGCTGCACAGAGAAGTGGTGGAGTCACAATATCTGGAAGTATTTAAAAGATGTGTAGATGTGGCACTTGGGGATATGGTTCAGTTGTGGAGCTGGCAGTGCTAGAGTTGGACTTGATCTTAAAGGTTTTTTCCAACCTAAATGATTTTATGATTCTAAACTAATAAAGAAAAAGATGTGACAAAGCTTTAGTCTGTCAACATCAGAAACTTTTTACTAGTAGAGGAGACTGTCAGAGAGAAGGCAAGCCCAAAGCCTTTTTGGATAGTCACTGGAGAATACTCCTTGACTTGTCCATGTCACCAACAATCAAAGGATTCCTATAATAATCTTATTCTACCAGGACAACATCAAAGTTTTAAGTTTAAAGGGTTTTTAGAGGTTTTTAACTTTAAAGACTTTATATAAAAGTTTCATATAAGTCTTTGTTTTATATAAGTCTTAGAAAAGACAAAGGGAATACAAGGCACACTTGGAAAGTGAATTAGATTTGGAAGGACGACTTAGCAATTTGTGGTATGATTTAGTGACATGGTTTAGTGTGAGGTGTGCCTGTCCATGGCAGGGGGTTGGAACTAGATGATCTTAAGGTCCTTTCCAACCCTAACAGTTCTATGATTCTATGATTCTATATACATACCTGCAGTCATCTTATCTGTTCACAAATTTGTGTGAGTGTCCTAAGAAATAACTGCTGGAACTCTGGGAGAGTATCACACTACATTTTCTAAGTTTGGAAAAGAGCATTAAGACTTAATTGAAAAAAACATTCACCAAGATTGCTGCAGTTAGAAGAAGAATGTTAGAAATAAAGTCATTCTGTGAAGACAATATGAAAATTAGGAAAGAACTACTAGACCCACAGCTATCAAACCACATACAAGATAAAAGAACTGCCATGGAACATAAGCATACAGCAAGCAGAGAGATTTTTTACCTAGCAGCCCGTTACAATTAACATAGCATAGCTCTCAACTGAAACAGAAGATAGAGATCAGAAGAAATTATGACAGTTATTTGTCACAGAGATTTTGCTATCAGGGGATGTACCAGAAATTTTGGCACTATGTACAAAAGATTGCGCTGTCACTGTCTATTCTAAATTTTTCACATGAATAAACTAGAGCCATGGTTTGTAATACATTTTGGCTGTGCTAATTTAAGCTTTGCAGGTTTACCACCATTTCTTTCTTTTAGTTGTGGAAGCAAATGTCATGACTTTTTTTTTTCTTTTTTCTGGGGTTACTTGTAGCTTGGTTTAAGTCAGTCAGTTCCTTGAACTTGGCTTAAAAGCTGTTCCAGCCAACTAAAGGGCCAGCACAAGAGGTGTATGAAGACTATTCAGCAGACAGGAATAACATACACCAGTAATGCCAAACACGTCCTTTAACAAGATCATCTCCTGACAGTAGGTGGCATATACCAAACAAAAAACACTAAAAGCGTGCATGTCTTTCTCCAGTCTGTTTTCCATCTTTTTTCCATCTGTTACAGTCAAACAGGTGTCAACAATAGCCCTCAAACCCAGGATTCTCCGGCTAAGACCTAAGTTACCAATGAGAGATACTACTGGTGCATCAAGCTTGTGGATAGCAGCAGCACTGTTTGAAACAACACATCCCACTGATCATCACCTCCCACCTTTTTGTGTCATGCCACCGTGGCTGCTTGTGTAGCAGCATAATGAAGTAGACTGGGAGACTGATCTGCTTTGGGGGAGGGAGGGTGGGAGAAGAAAGAAAAGAAATCGGAAGGAAAAAGGAAACAGATTTCATGGACATCAGCTCCCAGAACACAGCAGTGTCAAGCAATAGGTGTTAAGAACGGTGTAAGAATCCATAACTAATTAGTGTTCCTTAAGATTTCAATAATGCTTCAGAAAAGCATACAAAATTACAGTCTTCTTAT